TTTTCTGAATATACCTATAATTTATGAAGTGTGGTGAGGGAATACCTTCAAATATGTCTTGTTTTGTTTCTTTTCTTTTTTCCCCACTTCTCTTGTTGTGAAATTCCAGATGGTTGGCATTATTGGTGAAGCATTATACAAACATTATTCAGCCAGGAGGCCTACAATAGCCTGTCTACCCCCCACACACACTGTAATTAGTGTTGCCTTGAACTACTAGTCATTAAGACACAAGCATCACAGCTTCCAGGAAACAGGATGTCCTGTCACAAAGTCCTCTTGTTATTTGCATGAAATATTTTAACATGAGGCATACGTAAGATACCTCCAGTTATCCCTGTCAATAGAGTATGTACATTTAAAGCATCAGAGTTTTTTGCATCTTTAGTCCCCGAGTCTTTCTTGAACAGTTTCAAGAAGGTAAATAAGATAAATTATAACCTATATAAAAAAAACTAGCAGAGGGTAATGTCTCACTATGATCATTTCATATGTTATGAATTGCTACTTTATTCCTGAATATATTGTAATTACATTTTTTTTCCATTTTAGTTTTATAGAATGCCTTCAGCTTAAGCAAATTTTGTAAAATCTGATTTGCACTTTCTGATAGTTTAAAAGAGTGACCTATCCGGTATGGTTGGTGATAAAATGTAGTTAATGCTGACGAGGCTGGTATTGAAAATAAATAACTGTGTTTATTTTACCCTAACGTTCGTTTATAATATACGAGAGTGCTTTGGCTCTTTTTCCTAGGGCTCACATGTTGGATTCGTACCACCTTGTTCTAGCTTCCCCTCCTCCATCCCTAGGCAGCCTGACCCATTTCCCTGTCGTCATTCAGTGCAATGACAAGTGTAATATTATTGTACTAAGTATTGTACCTCACTCTCCTTGACACTTTGAAGCTGTGGAATCAAATTCAGCTCTCTCTCCCCCCCCCCCCCCCCCTTCCTTTTCTTTGTTTTTTGGGGGATTTATTACCAGTTTAGAGGGGAGTCGGCAAGTAGTTCTGAGGCTGTGCTAATGCTAGTCTCGAGCTGGACTGTAAGAGGTTTGTGAGAACAACCTTGAGAGATTGAAAAGTATCCGGCGTTCTGCTTAGTGCATTCCCCAAGGCTGTGGTAGTGTGAAAACTGGCTAAGTGGGAATTCCTGTGTGCAAAAACCTGTGCTATCACACCAAGCTTTTCATATTCCATAACTAGTGTGATGAATTGTATATATACAGCGAATAAAACAAGATTGGTAAATTGGCCATAATTTACTAATTAATGTGTAATTATGGACTTAGAGCAGTTCGGTGTATATGTGAGTGTGTGTGTATATGTAAAAACAACAGTTCTACTATGCGTCCTTTATACCTGCAAGCTATTTCATAATTCTCATCTCTTGTCAATGTCCAAATCCATCCTCCCACTGTGGTAATATAAACATTTCAGAATCACTGTGACCATCTTAATGGTAGTTTCAGCAAAGGCCATATAACTGAAAGTAGTTTTTTTTTAATATTTTTAAAAAAGGGATGTTAGCCAAACAGTTTGAAGTATAAGCAGCTGCTCACTGAACTGCTGGCAGTTATGGTTACGCAAAGCCTGTTTGTAAATGGAAAAGAATCGCAAGCCAAACCCTGGGCTGCATCAATGTTATTTGGATATGCGAAGGAAAACAGAAGTCTGATAAGAACCGAGTAACGTGCAGCTTCTCTTTGTTTTTTTTTGGTTAAATTGGCAGGAGTTTGTTTGCAAAGATTTTAAAGCTGTATTTAAATCGAGTGTCTCAGGTACTTGGCAGTCTGGCTTCAGTATCTATGGGATGGCTACTGGAAACCTATTGCCTGTTTTTGAAACTCCATTTTGATTTGAAAGGACTTTGTTGCTGCTGAAATACATTAATTTACGTACAAGTGTTCCTCTGTTAATCATTGTTAATCTTTTTTCATTCAAAGGATGAGCTTCACCCATTAACAATAATAATAATCCTTAATCCTTACATTTGATTGATTTTAAAATGTAGTGACTGTGTATTTGCATGAAAGCCAAACACAAGGGTACATTTTCAGTGAGATTTAAGAGAAATATTGAGTGTAATATTAGAAAACTCGGGATAAATTTGATGCAGTAAAATTAAACAATGAAAAAGGCCTGCGTTGAAGGCTGCATTTTTTGTGCCATTGAAATCATTGTGCTCGAAGTATATTTTTTATTGGACTTAAAGTAATTTATTTTTTCCTGTTTTGGGACACGAATTTTCAAAGTGGCATGTTCCATTACGGTATGCGTAAAAAAAAAAACACTTTAATTTTTCACCAGCTTTGAATTCCTTCCTAGGTCCAGTAATGGCTCCCAGTTGACTGCAGTACAGTGTTACTACTAAATATAGGACTATTCATTTCTTTTCAACCATTTCTTCCCCCACCCACCCTACCCCCAAGCCTATATGGTTATAACGGTTAGGAGACGTGCGAGGAATGAGGTGGGGAGAATGAATACTGAAAGAAATTCGGTGGATGCAGAGTTTGCTATCTTTACTCAGCAGACAGATTTCTATTGCCAGCTGCTGAATTCTAACAATATCTACAAATTAGATCAAGCTATCATGAAACCTCAACTTGATAAATTGATCTGTCTGCTTTCTTCATTTCTTACTCTCATCTTTTGAGCTAGTTCTTTTTCTGCCTTCAACAAAAAAAAGCCGATCTGATATTCCAAAGGTTGGGGATGGAAGATTGAGTCATCAAGATCATCTTCAAGGATTTTACATCCAATACCCAGATGGATTAGCATTAAGTTGGTTATACAGTTTCAAGCTAATCAAAAATCTGCTGGGCTTTCTCATTGTCACCAAAACTGAATTGAAGGAAATATTTTTGCAGAAGCCATAAATAAGCCTAAAATGCTATATTATGCTTCAGTAATAGAGGTCATTTTTGCATTAAATATCAGCTTTTCCGATGGAGGAATAAAGTTGGCAGACTGCATTGTGGGCTAGCTTCAAAACGGGTGACTTACCGCAACTTTTAGCTGATGTGCCTGGTGTGTATAAAGTAAAAGGAATAATTGTTTGGGTTCTGAACACAAACTAAGCTGGCTGCAAGAACATCGATGGAAAATATGAGACTCATCCAAATTCAGTCAAAATAAGGAATGTGTGACATGGAAGTTCTGGAGAAAAAACAATTAAACCTTGATTTTCGTGCAGCTATGGAGTACAGTACTTGTAGAAGTATTTCTAAAGCTGAAGGCAGTCATTCCCATGGAAGGAATTATATACAGTGCTCTCATAAATTATTTTTTAAATTGCTCATTGAAAATGGCAATGCAACCATAGCTTCAGTGTATTGCGCAAGTTTGTCCTAAATTCTGTTGTCCCTATGGTACTGAATAATTTAAGAAGTTAATAATTTAATACCTTTAACTGCATGTTTCTGGAACGTGGCAGTAAGATGCAGCCTGCAGTTTCTAGCATAAACTTTGAAATGGAAAAGAGACACAAAAAATGTTGGTGAATCAAACCCCCCTGTGTGTTTTGAAGCCGTTACAAATTGGCTTCCCAGTTACCCAGATATTTATTTGGTTGGACTGAAGGTGTTTTTAAAATTACTCCACTGGGGTTTTTGAATTGTGTGTTGGCTGGTGCTTCAATGATACAAATATTTTCTCATGTTAAATAGCCTACTCGATTCAGATTTCATTCAAATATTAAACCTGAACAGAAAGCATTGTTTTTGATTAATGGACCTATTTCTTAAATGGCAATAATTAAACTGAAGCCGTGCATTATGTCTGACGGGTTATTAATTGTAAAAGTTTGCATTGTGTTTTTAAATGCTACAAGAACAAAATCAGCTGAGATACAAATATTTAAAGGTTTTCTGTGCAAACTGCTATTAAAATCCAAATTCGATTATAATGTTTTGTGAAACTAGTTCTTTGTCGTAATTTGTGGGTGAAAGGCGGTAAAGAGTCAGAAAGGTTCAGCCTTCAAGGTTCAACGTCTTCGCCTCACGTTTTCTCACAGGGGTATGAAATCATCAGTAACTCTACAGAAACCACAAAATTGTCATGTGTTATACAGAAATTAGCTCCCCAGAGAAGACTTTCATCTCTGCATGCAGTACTTTAATTGACTTTAACCTAAGAAGCAAAGATGAATTGAAAGAATAACTGATCTCGAGACGAGAACAGTCAGCATGGCCTGAAGTTCCATATCGTGGGTTATTTTTGGAAGCGTAATTGGAAAGCAGATCCACACACATATTTAAATATTTGCAGTCAATTCACTTTACAGTATATTCTGTGAAGCGCTTTGAGATGTCTCGAAGACGTGATAAGGCGCTATATGGAATCTTGCTGTTGTTGTATATCAAATGCAAGGATTCTTATTATTTTATTTTTTTTGTATTTGATTTATGTTTGGCTATTGGAGAAAAACAATCAACCTCAATAAGTTTATTCACTGAAAATGAATGGAGCAATTTTCTTTTTATTTTGTGAGTTTATAAAAAGATATCAATCCTCAAACAGCAACAACAAATTGCACTCATACAGTGCCTTTCATGTCGGGAGGGGATCCCAATCAGTTTAGAAAACTGCACATTTCTGGTGGGTGGGTCTGCGTTTCTTTAGCAAGCTCAATTTTTTTTATGTCAATTGGTGAAATTATTCCTTGCAACTTTTCTCACCAAGTGAGCAGAAAAGTGAATTTCTCACGTAGAGATAATGTCCAAGTCCATTTGAAATCTAGCAGTTGAAGCTGCAGAGTCCAGCTTTTGAGAACTAATTTTAAATTTCTTCCACCACGAATATTGTGTGTCCTCGAGTAACCGCTGTTATTGAAAGTATAATATTTCTATTGAGAATTCTAATACAGTATTTCAGGTGTTGCATGAGAAATGTATTGCATGGCACTGTTGCATAATCCTAAATGTATGCAAAACAGCGTACAAAATTTGAACAGACAGAATCTTATATATTTTGTGTGTGTTTTTTGTTGTTGCAGGAATTGATTATAAGACCACTACAATCTTGCTGGATGGCAGGCGCGTGAAACTGGAGCTGTGGTGAGAAGAATTTTATTTAGGATCTCATTTTGTTCTCTCTCTCCCTCTGTGATGTTCGAATCTTGAAGTCTATTGTACGTAAAATGCTTTTCACAGTGTCCATGAGATGCATTGTAAAACACAAGATGATTGAGCATATGGACCGAGTCCTGTGTTTACAAATTAGACCCCTGGGGTTTCAGGGTATTTCCCATGGACAATACGAGGATCTGGTCTGTGATTTTCCCCAAGCTGTTGCCTAATAAACGGGGGTCAATTAAAACCCATTGCATTGATTCTCTGCAGAAACCTGACCGGATAAAAGCCCATTCAGCATAAATTTGTTCATTCATTCAGCAGCTGAAAATGTAACTTTCAACGAAAGCATTACTAACGTTATTACGTTCATGCCTTCCTTTAAAAGGACAGATTTTCTGGGGTGGGGGCTGGGGTGAAAGTGTAGCTCCTGAAGTTGCAATGGTGGACATTGAACGGTAATTTCTTTGTTTCATGACCCAGTTTTGCTATAGGTGTGTGGAGATTTCCATGAAAGTGTTTGACCTTACATACTTTTAAGGACACGGAGCATTTTAAATGTAAGTCAGTTACATTGTGGGATACATAAAGTAGCATTTAACAAGAAATTCTTCCTCTTCTACCAAATGAGCCGTGGTAAAGACAGCATCGGGTACTCGCTTAAAACAGAATGTACACTTCTTTCACTTCCTTGCTTTCCTCAAAGTAGGTTTGTCAATGCAAGGTTTCCTGTTGACCACTGATTCCGTGGGACATCAAACTGTATTCATCGAATAATACATTACCATGCTAACTGGCATGCTGCCATTAGTTTGTCAGTTCACCCAAGAGTGATCCTTTAGCTTTTAAGATTAGATTTTCTTTAGATTGGAAGTCTCGGTCCTCTTTACATGTAAAGAGCCCAGAAATGCTACCAATAAGAGTTTTGGTGTGGTAATATCTGCCATCTCTTTTCCAGTATTACACTTCAAAAGTGTTAGCTTGTAAATTTTAATTAATTTGCTACCTGGCAGTGGGGCTTTATCCATCCAGAGCTCTCTTGAATCCCAGACATGCAGAGTTTGTCTTTACCCAGAAGTTCTGATTCTCCCAGAGGATTGTCAGAGTATAAAAGACTGCTGGGGACTTGTCAATTGGGACATTTCAGACGACAATGAACAGGCATATTTGGATGATTTATAGGTGGTTGTTCAACAGAGGAAAGTTGACAAATGATCAGACATCAATGAGGAATTGTTGGAAACCAAGGCATTAGTGAAATGTGGTCAGCAATAGTTCTATTAGAACGTTGCACCCTCTTTACCAACTAGGAGTGCTGAATTGTTACTTTCAATTTATAAACTAATTTTGTGTAACTAAAGTGCTAATCCAAGCTGACTCCAGTTCTCTCAGCGTTGATTCGATCACTCACCAATCATATCACCTTTGAATGACAGGGCCTTAATTTCATTTGAACACTGACCTTTATGCTGGGTTTCTGCAATCGGAGCTTTATTTAGTTAGCTCCAAACTCCAATTGTAGAGCCCCATCAGCCATCTCAGAGCTACAGTTGTCCTTGGTGCCCTCTGGGGAGATGGTGGGGATGGGGTGGAGGAATGTCCAAGGTTCGCAATCTCGTTCACTACCCAGTGCCCCCCGCTGGCAAGTGTATGTGTATGCCTTCATCAAGGTTGTTCTCTTTGTTTCAGGGACACTTCGGGACAAGGGAGGTTCTGTACAATCTTCAGGTCCTATTCCAGAGGAGCTCAGGTATGTATATTAAAAAAGATTAGTAGTGCAATTCTTAGATCTTCCCGCTTTCCATTAACCAGAGTGTTTAGAGTATTTGCCTCAGTCAGAACCGCTTTCATTTGCATTTCCATTTTGGAAGACTTTCCAGATCAGTGCGATTTTTGCCTTGAACCTTTTGCCAGTTTGCTTGTTTTTGCCAATACAAAGCTTATAGCCATGATAATTTGCCACTGAGGATGTGGTTATCTAGTGCGATTATGCTACATTGTCAGAGGTGCTATCCTTTGGAGGAGACATCTTTGTGCTTGTTCACCTCTGTGCCTGTTCAAGTGGATGTTAAAGATTCCACAGGGCTGTTTGAAAAAAGCCTTTTTGTCATAGCCAACAACCCAAAAGATAAAATTGATCATTTATTTCATGGCTGTGGGTGATTGCTCTGTGTAAATTGGCTGCCACTTTAGCCTACAAGTAATCACTTCACTGTACTATGTATCCTGTGAAACGCTGTGAGATGGCTTGACCATTAAAAGGTGCTATATCAAATGCGAGGATTATTATCTGTTATTGTGTTAAGATGTTGTGCCTGTAAAATCATGTTAAATATTAATAAGTGATTTGATTTTTGAGCGTGTCCGCAATACCATTCTAACTATTCCACTGTGCAGAACCTTCCTTAGCAAAACTAATACAAGTGTTGTCAAGAAATAATTTTTAAGTGATTTCCTAAATCTAATATCTCAGGAGGATTAATATTCAAATGTACAATCGGTAGATCAATGTACTACGTTTTGAATTGCAACATACATTTTAACTCTTAAGTTTCATGTGAGCGAGTTACTTAATTTAACTTTTCTGTTGAAAAAAATGTTTTTCTTGATTCTATCCCCTAAATGACTTTAGGAATGCTAATGGCACAGGCTTGCATAATAATATTGGTGATTTTTGCTATTGTACAGTGATATTTGCAATGTGTTAACACAAGCTACTTAAATAGTCCACCACACATTTGTTTAGCAACAAAAATCTTCACTCACGATTGCCGTACTAGATAATGTCTTGTAGAATGGTCCCAGCGTTATTTTTAGTTCAGATGGGCAAACACACTTGCATTCTGCCATGGCTTATTTCTGGCATAGTTGATTGCAGCAGTGTTTAAAAAAAGAAGAGGGAGTAAGCCTTCAAATACTGGAGCAGGTGAAGTGTAAATATAAAAAGCAGGGCAGAAAAAAATGGTACTCTTTGTTTAAAAAAATCAAATGAAGAATGCAAGTCACCAAGATACGACTTGATAACATCTGCCAGAGATCCAGTTTGAGAGTCCATGTCTCCTGTCATCAAAACGTAACTAAACCCAGGCTACTAAAATCTTCCATTATGTACCCAGTGTATTACTTCAGTAAAACAATATTGTAACTGTGATTATTTGGCGGGTTATTTGGCAGTGCATCAGCTGGACACAAGTCTGTTCCCCATTGAGTCATGTTAAGAGGTTTCATTGCAATATTCTTAATTTTCTGTGGTTATCACAGCTGAGCCATGCGGGCACCATACTCCAGGGAGGTGGTGTGCTGAACAGACTTTCCCATATTAAGACAAAAAATCAAAAAGCATTACCAAATGAATCATTTGGTTCTGCTACCATCGATGCCCTCCAGTGTATAAGCTTAATGGGTTAGGATTCTGTCATTAGAGCTTTCACAAGAGCAAAGTATCCTACTGTTCTCTTCAAATCACAATTTGATTTGCGGTCACTTGAATTTTATCCGCAGCTCGGAACACTTAATATTTGGGGTAAAAAAAATGAAACTTGGAACATCTCTGTGGAAAGCCAGGAAAAAAAATCATGTAATCATACTTTTGGGATCAACAGGAAACCTTGATTTAAAGTGCAACCGTGGTAATTTCTGTTGGATTATTTAATAGCCTGTATGGAATTACACGGTTTAAAAGAAAAAACATCTCTCATTGAAAATCATATAAACCTGCTTATGATCTTGTGCTGCATAAAGCGGGATGTCTTGCCAGTATCTTCAAAGGGCCAACTATCATGGTCCCTGGTGGGGATGAATGACTCGACCCACGTGTCCAGCCAGTGATTTGTTTTGTCTCTGTTCTGCAGTGAGCTTACTCCATAATTGGGTGAGGTCCAGCAGATGGAAACGTGACTTTCAAACAGCTGCACGTGTGCAAGTTTGTGCCTTTGCTAAAGAATATGTCCTTTCACTATTAATAGGGCAGATTCCACCACGTTGGCCTCGGGGATGCATCACAAATCATTTCTTAAACGTGATTTCGTAAAACAAACCAAGAATTAGAATTTAGTTCCAGTTGGTGAAGTTAATGATTATTTTTGTGGAGTCTGTAGCGTATTGGTTAGAGCACTCGCTTCGCAAGTGAGAGGACTTGGGTTCGATCCCCGGGCAGGGTGAAACGTTAGGCCAAGTTTCCTTACTCCACACATACACCTCTGTTTTCCTATCATTAAGTAGGAACCCAGTTGTTGGTTGGTGGGTGACTTTTCTGAGGATAGTAATCCATTCAAAAACATTTTTTAAATAATAATAATTTGGTCACTCAATCCACGAGTGACCAAATTTTGTAGGACACTGCTGTGCGCAATTGGCTGCTGTGTTTTGCCCACAAAATATACATTAAATTAATTTGTAGTGTATTCTGTGAAGCGCTTTGAGACATCTCGAAGAGGTGATAAGGTGCTATATCAAATAATGATTATTATTATTATTATACACGACCATCCCTGGACACATTAAAAGTAAACCTTATCTCTAACGCACCAGACTTTTTTTTTACTGATCACATTTCCTTAAAAACGATCCGTCGTTGTTTGAATGAAAATAAAAACAGGAAGTTTTTTGTTCCTCCTCAGGGTATACTCCTGGTTTATGACATTACCAACAGGTGGTCCTTTGACGGAATCGATCGGTGGATCAAGGAGATCGACGAGGTGAGCTTCACAAGTTTTTCTTTACAAGTAACCAAAAATATTCTCTTCCATAAACAAGTTATACCACGTGTGTGTGTGTGTGTAAGCAGCATCTTATAAAGAGACTTTGACCAGTTGTGGACTGCAACATCTTCAGATTAGGGTCTATTGAAATGCCTCATGTGGGGCTAGTATAATTTGTGACTTAGTCCTGACTCATTTTGGTTAGAATGTGTAACTTAGTTTACAGTGCTGTTCAGGAAAGTACATGTTCACAGTTCCTGAACAGAACATCAATACCTGCCTGCAGACTCTCTCTGTAGCAAGGTTAAGTAAACCCTGGTGTATTAGAGTCTGATCCTATAGTTAACTCATACGCTACCCAAACACTACTAGCTGAACTTTATTTTTGCTATTTTTCTTTTTTTTGAAAGCTTTTTATTACTTTTTTTTCTATTAAGGAACAAAATAAAACTATAAAACTATTTGCAGTGTTTTATTGGATGCATTCCCATTTGTGGTTCGATTTCAACCTATTTCTGTCACAAGTTAGATCAGACCATCTACATTGATGTTCCTTCCAGGATGTGTTGTCATTCATCCTGAGTGGAAAGAGTTCTTTCCTGTGCTACCCGCCAGTGGACGGAAAGGTTGCTTCCTAATGATTTCAAAACCATTCATTTCCCTGATGTTGTTACCAGTGCTGATGTTTGAACCTTCAAAAGATGTACAAGATGGAAGGCTGTCAAAATTGACTTTTTAGATGTTTGCCTCCTGAACCATAGAAAGTAATCCACCTTTCAGTCCCACAAACTCGACTACAATCTGTTTATTATCCCTGGGGAGATATTTTTTGGGGGGAAGGAAGGGTGTGGAATTTCTCTCCCACTATTCTCCCCATCTCTCTTGACATCATTGAGTCGTTGTTTCGTGGGTGCCAGTTTTTTGCTGAAGATGTTTCTTTACCCACTGTGCCATTATTCACGTGGTGAGTAATGGTCACGGGCTAAAAGGAACATAATTTCTGAGCCCCAGTTCTGTCGTTGAATTATGCCAACAGCTATACACAAACCTTTTAATAAAAAATACATCCTTCCTTGTAATTCTTGAATAGTTTTAACTTCAAAGACCCCAAAACTGAACATTGCACTGTTCCGTTAGTCATTTTCCCCAGAGTTTTTCCATTCATCACCTCCTGGTTTCTATTGCTGAGATGCTTTACAATCCATCCAACTACTTTGCTTTCCCTATAAATTTCAATATACAATACTTCCATGAGCTGTAATTTTTATAGGAGTTCTTACAAAAGCCTTCTAAAATATACTTGCTCTAAAAGGAAATTCTATCTATGATAATAATCCTTGCATTTGATATAGCGCCTTATCACGTCTTCGAGATGTCTCAAAGCGCTTCAGAGAATATACTGTAAAGTGAATTGACTGTATATTTTGTGGGCAAAAGTGACCACAAAATAGTTGGAATGGTACGAATTAACCTTAAGTACCCTAGGCTGCGGAAGATAAAATCCAGTCAGAATATAATCAGAGCCAAGAAACTTCAGTAGAGGAGAGAGAAATGCTGTGTGTCTGAATATAATTTAATACAAATAATTTAATTCAATGCTAATAGCTAAAGTGCCTTTCACATAAACGTAAGCATCTCGAACTGCTTTCGAAAGCATCTCAAATTCCACTCCAAAATATAAATGGTTAGAAATGAACTTTAAAAACAGCATCTTATCTATGCCAGCAACATCCCAACATCTGTTTGTTAACAGATGAGCAGACAGTTATTTGAATTTCAGAGTAAATTGAGAGAAAGCTGCAAGTGGGAGCGACATAAAATGTGTCGTCAACTGATTTTATATTTGCTCTCATTACAGCACGCTCCGGGTGTGCCTAGGATCTTGGTCGGCAACAGGTTACACCTCGCCTTCAAGCGGCAGGTTCCCACTGAACAGGCACGTGCCTACGCTGAGAAAAACGGCATGACTTTCTTTGAAGTCAGTCCACTCTGCAACTTCAACGTGACCGAGTCCTTCACAGAACTGTCCCGCATTGTGCTCATGAGACACGGCATGGAGAGGTTCTGGAAACCAAACCGAGGTAAGAAGCTGATGAATAAAATCCGACTGTTCCGTCCTATTAATAAAGCATGGTTGGGAGGTTGGGATGGGATTATAGAATTAGTACATGTGAAACTGATTAGACCTGTATTTTTTTTCTTGGACTGCAATTATTTCAATTCAATTGCCTTCTGACGTTTTCTTTAATGTAATAACCGTCTGAAAAGATTTGGATCTGTTCCTGGTTTATAGCGCTTAAAAGCGGCTTTCAAAACGGTCGATGCTTATATATATGTTTTTCTTCTTCCCTCCACTAGTTTTCACTCTGCAGGATCTTTGTTGTCGAGCCATCGTTTCGTGCACTCCTGTTCACCTTATTGACAAATTACCACTACCAGTCGCCATAAAGAGTCACCTCAAGTCCTTCTCCATGGCCAATGGAATGAATGCCGTCATGATGCACGGGCGCTCCTACTCCCTGGCCTCCAGCAGCGGGGGCAGCAAAGGAAACAGCTTGAAGAGATCCACTAAACCTCCACGGCCACCTCAGAGCCCACCTCAGAGCTGCACACGCACTAACTGTAAAATCTCATAGCGAGAGATTTCTTCTGGCTGTTTTGATTCGAGCTCGCTCTCTCTCTGTCACTCTCTCCTCTTCTGCCGAACCTTGTGCCACCTGAGGGAACCTGAGCTCCCACCAAACTGTTCTCGGAATCTTCCAACTGGACCAAATGAAAATGTACCCTGCATTTTCCCCCAACCCTCCTCCCAAAGGAACCACACGTAACTTTTGATGAATGAACCAACCACCCAACCCACCAACCACCACCGCTGGTTGAAGTGGACACTCATTACGTTTTCGTTTTTAGCAATTTGCACTGAGATTTCAAATTAGTATTTAAAGCAACTTGCAGGTGCCACTGTTTTAATAAAGGGACACCGAATTTTCAGGAAGGTGGTGCTGGCATGTTTACATGGCTTTCATCAGAACATTGTTTGTTCCCTTTTCCTTGAGCGAACAGCTAGAAACATTTGTTCTCTTGACTAAATATTATTGACACACGGTGTAAAGAAGAATCTCTGGGAATCGAACCAGTGCAAATGCAAAGAATGGCTCTTGCTACTGTATTTCTTACTTGCATCACAAAACTTCCGTGCCTTTGATATTAGACTATCCAGCCTCCAGCGGCCTGCATGTGGCCTTTCATACCTTAACCATGCCTTGTACCTTTATCGTCTAAAGACCAGGACCAAGTGAGATCAGAGGTCAACTGACAAGGTTGTATGCTTTTCCCATACAGTGTAAATGCTAATGTATTCATATTTTCTCTTGTTAATTTATCCGTCAACTATTTTGTAGCTATATCCTGTCGCAGTGTACAATGTCCTAGTTGATTTAGTAGTTGCTTAACTATTCTGCCATTTTAGTAATCAGAAGGTTAACCTTGTGACCAGTAATGCAGAGTTTAATCTCAATCTTCACCTTGTGTTGAGCGTGATTTGTAAATTTTAATATCGGGCAAATCAAGTATGGCTTCTTTATTTCAAACAACCTTTGAGAAATTGGAAAACAGCAACAGAAAAAAATCCTCAAGTCCACTCTGGTAAAACTGAATGGAAATTATGTGAAAAAAAACCTTGAGCTCTTTCGTTGGGCCTCTTTAAAATTTTGCTTTTGTTCTTTGGTATAAAGAAAAGCTTTTGTTTTGACATTTGTTTTAACATTTGTATTGTATCAGAGGCATCCTTTTCCTCCCCTCCCCCACACCCCCCCCAAAAAGAAACACACACGCACACAAAGAAATGTTAGTTGTAAGTGTTTTTCTTCTTACTGTAAAAAAAGCTTTGCATCTTGATCACTAATCTTAATCAACAGCTTTCTATTTGGATGACACTTCTCAAAGGTAAAGTGGGAGCAGGATGTTTAGATGTACGGTAACCTTGAAGATTGGCCACCTTCTGAACTAAAAGAGCAGTTGGGAGCATCATCTAGTCTTTGAGAAAAAGGGAAAAAAAATGAATAAATGTTCAATTATGTAAAACACTATCACATTTATTATAGCTGCTGTGTGACACTTAACATGAATGATCTAAGTGTTTTATTGGCATTTTTCTTTGTACAGTTTTATTGTTCAACTGTGAAATACACCTTTTTTTGCAAAACCGAAAATATTGGTTCTTTGTGAATTATTTTAATATCTTCCATCCACACTGTGCACACCCTCTTTGAAAGACGCCAAATTTTGTTTCCAGGTGAGGATTATGCTTCCTTGTTCCCTCTTCCTGAGTTATAAAGGACTGTTTGGAATGATCACAATGATAATAATAATCCTTGCATTTGATATAGCGCCTAATCATGTCGTTGAGACGTCTCAAAGCATTTCACAAAATATACTGTAAAGTGGATTGGTTATGTATAAAGTGGGTGAGACAAATTGCACAGAATGAAGTGCTGGCAAGCATTGAGCTGGTGATACACAGTGAAGCGCTGGCTGGTTGGGCTCTAAAGTCCATGGCTACCAAGCATTGGGCCAGATGCTTAAGCAGGAACCTCTTTCCCCCTCTTCAACCTCTCCCCCTTCCCCCTGTATCCACAGTAAATTCAGTCTAACTTCACGATGTTGTGCACAAAGAGGAGCCCTATTTGTGGTACCTTTCACCATTCTGTCTATCATGAATTGCTGTGAAAGTTGGAAGGTGAATGGAAGGTAAGTGATTAGACATTTAACAAAACTACAATTGGGGGGAAAAAAACCTTCACTGAAGCCTCAATTAAGCTCCTCATCAGTAGGTGCAAGTGTGACTTTATTTCAAATCAATACAACTTCAATGAAACAGTTTTTGCTCATTAGTGACAGTTAATAAACAACATCTCTGCTTGATAGTTTAAATAGGCTTGACTGATTACAACTTGTATCCCACCAGCTACCTACAATACAGAGCAACCAAATCATGAAACAATTTGCTTTACTCTTTACATTAATGTTGCGCAGAACTCTTAAATCCATTACGAAACGAGAGCTGTACAAATACAAGGCACATTGAGATACGAAGAATCACAGGCAACAAAAATGCCAACAGTGCACGTATACCATACAGACGCACAGCAAAGCCTCTTCAAAAAGGTTACCCAGACTATGGGAGCAATGTGGGGCGACTGCATTCAATTTGCTTTTCTTTTCTGTAAAGACTTTAGGCCCTGATTTCATCTCCAGCATTGAGTTCCAACTAGCAACTCTGTGATTAGAAAGGGAAGGATTTACAAATAATCATAGTCTAAATGTTTTGATTATTTTGTCGTTGTCCCGCCCCCACCCCCCACCTTCTCAAGTTGTGAGATGTAGTTCTAGATTTCCACATCCACTTTCTATATTAAGCGCAGTCCTTGTTCTTTGCAATGCTGAGGGAAACTGTCCCCGCAGACCAGTTTATTTTAAGAAAAGGAAATGTTGCTTCAGTGACTATGTTATTGTAAGTCAGCCCTTTTGATGGATAGAGAGTAACTATTGATGAAGATTGAGATGTATGTTTGTATTATTAGGACTGCTGCAATCATCAAGAGCTAAACATCCTCCAGTTATTTATCCCCTATGTCTATTGGTGAAATCGTAAAGAAGATTAATCCTCTACACACATGTCGTTTTCCGGAAGATCAAACATTTGTTGTGAGCCGGCATGTCCACCTGTAAATGAATAACAATTGACTGAAATGCATACAATTCAATAAATGGGAGCCATTCACATTTTACATCAATTATTGGTGACAAAACAATGAAAGCCGTCTCACTTCAAAACGTTTTGGAAATTTATTACAAGGCTCCGGGCAAACTCCAGTTGCTTTTTTCTTATTTAAGAAAAAGTTTTGTAGCACGCGGTGCCGATTAAAATCTGGTGAGTTTAATTTTGAAGGATTGTAGGCTTTAACTGTACTCGTACCACAAAATGACGCTGTTCACGTTCTATCAAATCAATTGAACATAATTAAGCAGCCAAGGCCGTTCTAAATAACTTAGCGAAAACAAAGAAGAAGTGTTTGCTGTACAGACAACTTCACAATTATCTGAATTGTCAGGAGAAGGGGTTCATATGACATTCATATCGTTCATAAACGGCTCTTCTAAGATTTTAGGAAGAAAAACAAACATAGATTCCAAACCTACTGAAACAATATAACTGGACTTTATATTCTACGCTGAGGTTTATATTTTCTGGAGGTAATCACCCCTGCAAAATAAATAAATAAATAAATAAATTGGTCACTCAATCCACGACTATTTGTGGATAAGGCACTGAGTCAAATGCAAGGAATATTATTGTGATTATATAAAGATTACTACTTGCAGTGTAGCCCAAATTATAACAAGAGTAGTTGGGGAAGGGCCATAAAATTTCAATCAGCATTATAACAGGGTACAATTATTGGTGATAAAGCGATGAAAGCTCTCACTTCAAAACGGGGTGAAGGAGGTAATGGAGGCAGCACACCATACAACATGGTTCTGTTGTATTCACTATTCTGCGTATACAGGAAATAAATAATACATACCATCTTCTCAAACGACATCCCATTTTCTTCAGCAAACTTTTGTAATAAATTGACATCCTTCAGTCCCCAAGATGAATTTCTTTAGAAGAAAGCAATGCGTGTTTTTTTTTTTTAGACGAACTCTTCCAAAACAGTGGAATCACAAGAGAAGACAACGAAACGGGCAGAATGGAAGTTTCGCAAGAAAATTTGCAATCGGATGTTTACCTTTTCCGTAAGGTTAAATCAAAGTCCACGTTGCTTTGTGGAGTAATCACGCCATTGACTGCGTAGGGCTAGAAAGAAAGGTCCAATTGAAATCAGACTTCAGAAAGAGACCTACAAGACAGTACGAGTGTGACATGACCTGCCGAAGAACCGAACATTAGTACCTCTGAACCAACAGTGAGCACCTCGTCCTTTTCACACTTAGGACCCTCACAAGATTAGTCTGAAATAAGCACCTCCGAAGGTAATGGATAAAAGGCAAATAAGGCTGGTATCCTGTCTCGGAAACGTCAGCTCTGTGTCAGACAGACGTTACGTCATTTTTCACGGGTTGTTTGTTCCCGCGCCTCGCGAGACTAATAAAGGGAGTTGCTGGCGGGATTGGTGGACGGTGTCTGTGGGCACGGGGCCACTGCTCCTGAGTCCTGTTCATTTCCAGTTTGCAAACAAAAACATAAACGAGGACTGGGAAATGCCAGCTCAGGGCAGATGGTACTTCTCATCTCTTGACTGGCTCTAGTGATGCCTCGTCACGGAGACGGCTGGCCGGCCTTGCACTGGCGACTGGGCGGAAGAGAGATGAAATGATCTGCCAGGTGTGAGGAGGAGGAGGAGGAGGAGGAGCTTTCACCGAAGCCTCAACTTCTAGATTTGGAAAAGGTTCACATTGCAAACATTCAGTGTTGATTCCCGGCTCTCACTCACCGGAGACTTACATCACTCTCCCGCCCGACACTGTAATCAGAATCCCCGAGGTGGAAGTTTTCATAACTGAACCAAGACAGGAGATAAACAGTGGTGCATCATTTACACAGCACCTCGGCCATTTATACCGCACGAGTCGTTTAGCTTTATCAAACACCCTGCTCCAGACTCACATACACATGACTTGCTGTGGAGGCTCTGGTATTGGTGATGCACCATCATAACCCCAATTTTTCCTCACTGCAGGACTGCGGTAATCCAGGCACAATTGCTTGGGGTGGGGTTGTGGGGGGCGAGGAAATATTGCACATCGATTTTGAGCAATGCACCTCGATCAACAGTTCCCATAACAGCAGTTAATAGGACGTAACACAGGACATTCTACACCTCGGCCAGGAGCAAGCTCATCATGGTTGCAGTTGCTTCTCCAGGGACGTTACGAGCATGTTAAAGTCTTTTTTTTACCGCACTACCAAACAAGTTAAATAGCATTACAGCTTAACCGTTTCCTGAGCAAGACATCTCAATCAGTCGTCCAAAAGAAAACGTTCTCAACTGATCTGAGGCGGCGGCAAATATATTAGGCAGTTTTTAATTGCCATTATCCTCTTACGACTCTGTCACCCTTTGATATTATTCCCGTAACTTTTCATAGAGCGTACAGCTGATGTATGCATGTTCCATGTGATTCTAAAAGACTTTGTAGTTGTATTGATTTAAGTATTATCCTTTCAGCTTGAAGGCCCCGATTTGGCTGAACGTGCCCAAGGACATATGAAATGACCGTTTGGAGTGAAAGGAAAGATTTGCATTAGGAAGTTGCTTCCACTCTAAGTACTTACAGTGCCAAACATACATCACCCTGTTTTAATGAGTGACTTAGCGTTGCTGCGTTGCAGTGGAAATGGTGTAAAATCTCATTTGTTTCCTGGTTTATTAACATGACTGCGGTCGTGCTTTAGCAGGTAATAAATCTTTCTTGCTGGGATTCCAATCGCATGGTTCACTTACCCCGTAAGTGATGAGCAAGGCGTTCGGTTTCAGCAGCTGCCCAGCACCTTTAAACAGACCCTGTAAGAGAGAAAATTCCGTAAATGGCATCAATTTTACCTTTAACAGATTCGGGAGCAAACAACTTTTTGTCTCAAGTATTTTCTTACTTTTCCTCTTAGCCGTTTCCCAAGGGCGGGTAACTGAGGTTGAGGAACAGATCAGCCGTGCTCTTACAGAATGGGGGAACAGGCTCGAGGGGCTGAATGGCCTCCTCCTGTTTCTGTGTTTCATTGCTCTCAGTGGGAAATTCCTGACTGCTTTGACCTCAGGTAATACACGGGGCTCCAGCCACAGAGCTACTGTACAACATCCCTATCAACAGCTTGAAAAATGTACCTCGACTCTTAATAACAGTGATTTAAGTGACATTAAATCACTGTCGTGGTTCAACGAAGTTCTATCAATTTGCCTGGGCTCTCAGGATAAAACTTAGAAATGTCTAATAAGTCTTAAAGAAATGATGATTATATATATTTTAAGGTAATAGTGTAGATATCACGACTTTTTGGTCACCCCGTGTAACAGATATTCCTTTATTTATCACAAATGACTTGGTGTTTATCACGCATGGCAGGAGGGCTGTTATTCTAAAAGGACGAGATCAAAGAAGCCGAAGGGCCTTCTTCTACCTGAACCTCTATCACAAAATGCCTCACTCCATTTTGGATCAAAGCAGTCTGTCTCCACCTCACAAATGCTCAGCTTAAAAAAACACACACTTCAAAATGCGATGTTGAAATTGATGAGGCTCCAGCAAACTGAAACCTGAGATATTAATCATTTGTCAATCCTCCGAATGATAAAATATAGCAATTACTGGATTGACGCAGCTTTTCAAGGCATTACATTTATTCCCTACAGAACTCGAATCTAACCTTTACTTCAGTCAATAAGTGAATTGTTCAGTTAAATGTCTGAAGCACATCTGATCTCACTGGTGCTAACCCTGATTCTTAAGAGCAGTGTGTCGACACCTTGGGACGTCCTCCCGACATGAAAGGCGTTTTACAAAGGTAACTTCTTGTTGTTGGCATGAATTTTAAGGTCAGTTCTCTGACATTATCTTATGGTCTGCGGAGACTGATGTTCCCGGCACTAAAGGAGATCAGCGCGTATAAACGGACACAGATCTTACCTCAGTGCACTTTATTTCTGTGATGTGAATCATGTTGATATTTACAATAAGATCAAAAGAGTTTGGCTTCAAACTTCCCCAAGTCTCCCAGCTCCGAGAACAGTCGATATTAATTGGCTGCTTGACATTTCCCACTCTCGTTGCTGCAATGTAGGCAGATATGCTAAAACAAAAATCGAAGCAATTTTGTTTTAAAGATAATCTCTCTGCCTGAGAAAAGGTTTCAGGCACCGCTAAATATCTGGGACAAGTTACACTTTGTAATTAAAGATGATCCACATTCATCAGGTCACAACTAGTCGTTTTTCTGGTCATGTACAATGAACTAAGTTTGATTTCATCTACAATTAAATAATTCTATTCGAGAAAAAAAAGGAACTGCACAACTGAAAGCTAAGATCTAGTGAAGTTTATTGCCGATTTCACTGGAAGATTTAGCATTCTCACATCCTGCACAATTAAAATATAAACCGTATATAAATAATCCTTGCATTTGGTACAGTGCCTTTCTCGTCAGAAGGACATCGCAAAGTGCTTCACAAAATGCACTGTAAAGTGTAGTGGTTGTACATTTGCAGCCAAGTTGCGCACAGCAATGTCTCACAAATGTCCGTGAAGTGAATAAATATAACAACCCAATTGTAGTCAGCTTTTAAGCTGAATATCTCAATCAATTACACCAGCTCAGCCTATCCGCCCTGGGACACAAAATCAAGATAGCAGTTTATTTATATAAATGAACACTTTTTAGTCAAAGCAGTATATTATGTGTGCGCGCGCTCCAGCAGAGCATTCACAGACAACACTGCCCTCTCTGGGAGATGTCAGGATGAAAAATTGTCAAGTCAAAATTGAGGCTCAAAGTGGCTTGTTATTATTACTTCGTCGTAACATCAATGTTCCAGCTGTTTAGCTTCCCCCAGTTTTTCACATCACATCCTCTGCGGCAGCGTTACTGCACAAAGAACCCCAGAAAATAATAGACGAGCAATTTACAATTTAAAACCCCAATGTGCTTGGACTCTCTGGAACTCATTACCGACAGTAATAATTGGCCGTGTTCAGAAAATGCCGGTCAGGGGAGGGTACGCAACAACATGGGGGCGTTTTTCAAGCTTCGATGGGATTAAAATATCTGTATCAAAAGCACAGGGGGGGCATAAAAGAGCATTAGGTTCACTCTCTGTCCTGCCTCCCACTCAATATTTCTAACTACCGTTTGCTTGATGTTGATCAGAATCTCTGGCTGATTTTTCTTTTAACTAATAATAATGATAATAATAATCCTTGCGTTTGATATAAAACCTTATCACGTCTTCAGGTCGTCTCAACTAACCCTGTCCGGCTGAGACCAATTGAGGCATATGGTGGGCACCCGGTTTAATTAGCACAGACAAGAGGTGACACTTCACGGGGTTTTTACTGTGAAGTGCAGTGACTGTGCGTTTGTAGGCAAACATAGGCGCAAGAAGAGATTTTTTTTTCTTCGAGGCGGGCTGACCAACAACAACAACTTGCATGTGTGTGTACGTGTGTGTGTGTGAGCGTGTGCGTGGGTGTGTGTGTGTATGTGGGGGTGTGTGTGTGTACATATGTGGGGGTGTGTGTATGTGGGGAGGTGTGCGGGGGTGTATGTGGGTGTGTGTATATGTGGGGGTGTATGTATGTGTGTGTGGGTGGGTGTGTATATATGTGGGTGTGTGTGTGTATGTGGGTGTGTGTGGGTGTGTATATATGCGGGTGTGTGTGTCTATGTGTGGGTGTGTGTGTGTATGTGTGGGGGTGTGTGTGTATGTGTGGGTGTGTGTTTGTGTGGGTGTGTATATATGTGGGGGGGTGTGTGTACATGTGGGTGTGTGTACGTGGGGGTATGTGTGGGTTTGTGTGTGTGTGGAGGGGGGGATTGAATCTGAATTAATTTCAGATCTGTTGCCTGTTGTTTTGCAGACGACTCCCATAACCTCAACCTTTATTCATTCGCAGCAGCGATGACGAGAGTTTGGGGACGAGACAGCCTTTAGCATCAACAAGTGCTGACTGACTGCCTGTTGGGTTGCGTTTGCCACCGCACAGACCTGATTTTATTTTACGAGGTTCATTTTGCGCAAAGAAGTGTTCAGCTATTTTTGCTGGTGGATGAGGAAATCACCTGATGTGTGGTTGGATTCATTGGAATATTTTTAAAAAAAATAAAAGAGATATTAAATACATTTCCGAAATAGAGAAGCACAAAAGGAAGCAGTTAAATAACTCGACAGTGTCTCTTCCTCTACCCCCGTCTCTCTCGCTCTCTCTCTATCAATCTCGCTGTCCCTATCCAGCTTTCTTATCTATTTTCTCTCTCACTCTCTACCATCGCTCTAGGTCTATCCAGCGTAAAATACACAGTCAATCTACTTTACCGCATATCCTGTGAAGCCCTTTTGAGACACCTCAATGACATGATAAGACACTATATCAAACGCAGTGATTATTATTATATTATATATTATTAAACAAATACCTAAATACATAAACAAACTGTCCAGTCATTCTCAACCGGCTTCTACACAAAGAATGGCAGTCGCAGTTTGCAAACCATTAAGGACAAAAACTCGGCGGTAGAGGAAGGAGTATATTCTGTGAAGCGCTTTGAGACGTCTCGAAGATGTGATTAGGTGCCTTAATAATAATAATAATAACAATAATAATAATACAATAATAATACTAAGCTTTGCATTTGTTATACCATCTTATCAGGTTTCCGAGACATCTCAAAGCGCTCTACAGAATATACTATAAAGTGAATTGACCGTCTATGAAATGCAAGGATTATTATGATGATTGAATTATGTTTATGATTGTCATTATTATTATAAGAGATTGGAAAAATAAAAGCCGAGCAAAAAAACAAACAAACAAACATTGCCGAAAATCATCACCGAGCGGATAAAGTGTTGCCCGTTGCCTGGTGTCGTTGGTTACCTTTCCAGCGATCTCTCCTCCACTTCGGAAGGCTGCCACCGCACAGCGGGCAGCGCCTGAGCAAAGTGCACCGTGTGCTGACCGGAGCCCGAAGCCAACTCCAGAGCCAGCGCGGGCACTCGGGGGTCCAGGTGCTGCTTGATGACGCTCAGGATGGGATCCTTGTTCCTTTCGGCGGCTGGTGCCACAATCATCCCTGTGCCTCTGCCTGCGATACTGCCTGCGATACTGCCTGCGTTACTGCCTGCGTTACTGCCTGCGATACTGCCTCTATCTGTGTTACTGCCTCTGTCTGTGTTACTGCCTTTGCCACTGCCTGTGTTGCTGTCTGCGTTACTGCCTGTGTTGCTGTCTGCGTTACTGTCTGCGTTACTGCCTCTGTCTGTGTATCTGCTGCTGTTGCTGCTTCTGACAAGAAGCCGGAACCGTCTCCAGTGGCGGAGCTGTGATGGAGCAGTGACGGGGGCAGCGGCCAGCAGAGCGCGGCACAGACACACTGCACTGATCCTACAATAATATAATAATCCTCGCATTTGATATAGCGCCTTATCACATCCAAAAGCGCGTCAACAACCCCCGCCCCCTCCCCCAAACACACAACCTGCACTCACCCCCAAACACACACACACACACACACACTGCACTGTTCTAAACTTTTCCGGATGCAGCTCTTTCTCTCGCTCTCTCTCTCCGCTAATGCTGTAGGGAGTACAGAGGCTTCCTGTCTGCTGGGACTTGTAGTTCCAAGTCCAAGCTCGTTGGCGACAGAGAATCAGAACCTAATTCCAGGGCACTCGCAGCTGATGGAGGCACCAGACCAGCCTCGGCAGGACCTGGAAGGGCAGACCAGTCATGGGTGGGGGGGGGGCAAGGAATCCTCCCCCTCAGCTCCTGTTAACCCTGCAAAGCCATAGCCCTAACAAAAGGGCTGGACAAGTAACGGGAAAGCTTCCCGGACAGTACAGTAATATCAATGGCCAAGCTGTGTGTGGTTTTAGCGGGTTAGACTCCAGCAGTTACCCCAATCCACACTCTGGGCTTCACCCCCCCCCCCCCCCACCGCCCCAACCTGCGCCTAATACTCTCCAGAATTAGGTGAGCAGGAGGTGTCCCTCCAGGGAGAGAGAGAGAGAGCGCGCGCGAGAGAGAGCTCATTCCATTCCAATCTCTCTCTGGGATTTCCATGTGTAGGTGGGGGGCATGGAATCCTCAGTTGGGTTTGGAGACTCTTAAGCAACGGTGATGGGTTTCCCCGCGTGTCAGACACCCGGGTAGGAGAGTGGCCGAAGGCACGGTCAAAGAGGAGGGTCTTGAGACGTGCTTTGAAGGAGGCAAGAGCCGGAGCGAGCGTGGGGTGTCCAGCTAGGACCACCCTACCCTTTAGTTAGGGCTTTGCCTTGCAGGTTAACAGGAGCTGAGTGGGAGGATTCCCTGCCCCCCCAGGGACTGGTCGGCCCTCCCAGGTCCTGCCGATGAGCCAGGCAGGGAGTCTCAAGCTTCCTCTCAGGGTGGGAAGGACGAGGCATTAGCAAAGCTGTCATGGTGGGGGGAGAGAGATCAGACGAAGCTCTGAACCTGAAAGGCATTGATTTGGTTGTTAGAAATCAACTCTTTAATACAGAGAGAGAGAGAGAGAGGGGGTGGGAGAAAGAAAGAAATTAACGTAATAAAATAAGCCGCCTTTGTTGCTAACAGCCTCGGCCAAGTCTAATGACTGCCACCTGTAAATTTTATAAATGAAGTTCGGTAAATTAAACCTAATGCTCTGTGTTTGGGAGTGAAAGTTCCTCCCGAGAGAGTTTTTACAGCGAATCTTCTGATTACATTAAGAGGGGCTTCTGATGGCTTCCAAGTGACGTCTTCGTCTGAAATTGTTTCACGGGTTAAGCCCGTTCGGGATGCTGCACGCTGAGAGAATACCTATTAGGGCCGAGCTTAAACGATAAGTGGAAATAACTGCACTGCGAACACGATGTTTTCCCGCTGAATAGCTCCTGACTCACACAACATACGTAATGAGATAAAGCATCTGATCCTCAGTGCTAGGGGCAGAACCTTCAACTAATTACCTTTCAGTATTTCCTGGCCATTCTCCAATCATGGCACCAATCATTTTGAAAGCGATCGTTCATTGCAATTTTTTTTGTAATCTTTTGTACCTACAGGTAGCAAAGCAATTAGGGTGAAGCGTTCAATAGATCTGGTCCTCTGGAAAGAATTAAGTCGGTTTTAATCTTCACTGCATTGCTTCAGAGCTAATCTAAAGGCTCTGCGTCAAAATGCCAAACAGAGACATAAACTGACAGAATCCTAATAAGAAATACTGCCTTTCTTCCTCTTGGGATAAATACAGATTATGTTTGTCTGAAGACTGTCGTAGATTAGCTCAGGGAAGTCTAATGCAAGTTTTATATCACTGAAAAAAAAACCCCAACGAAATCATTTTCCAAAACCCTTTTTTTTTAAAAAATCGGTGAAATATATTAACGTTGAAAGAAAAATATTTTCTCCCTACGACCAAATGTGGCCTCGAAGAAAGTCTAATAAAACCCCAGGCCACAGCGCACAATCTAAAGGGTAGAACCCACACCTGCAGAACTTGACAGCGAATATTTGCTCCCATTCAAGTGGATTAATTTCAACTGCGAATGCAAGTGCTGAGATAATGTTTTTTNCCGGAGAGCCAAGTGTCACGTAAACGCGTTCTTCTTGTGCTGAAGGTCCCGTGACCGCCTCAGTAAACGTCGCTGAATTTTGGATAGAAATGCGAATTTATGAATCGTAGGAAAGCTGTGTCGTTTTAAAAGGTGGGGCAATTCCACACCGAATTTATTCCCGTCAAAGGAACACTTACAATCGGATACACGTTCCATTTCCGAGCCGTACATTAAACTGAACTGTGTGTGTAAAAAAANGGACTGAATCTGAAGCAGACTTCGAGAGGAGGCGATCCTTTCTCTGCCCGACCAAGCCGCCTTAAGAGCGCACCAAGCACTTAAAGCACTTAAATCCGGATCAATTTCCGAGCTGAACGCCTCTCTTTGTTAAAACTAAAAATGAATCCGTGAACACAACCGGAAAAATGTAAAAGTGCTTTTGTATCAATCAATGAGGTAAAGCAAAAAAAAACAAACAACTAAGACATTTCAAACATTCGCAAAACTCAGTACCTTCTGCTCACCTGGGATTAGAACATCCTTTGCAATATTCTAGTCCAATAGTCATTCTGTTGCTGTTAGTGAAAGTAAACGGAGGAATTTGCAACGTAAAACCTCCGGTAGTTGTGTTTTCATGGAGTCGTTGTGAACGGTGCGTTTTAACTCTTTTTTTTAAGTATTAAGTTCGATCCGCGACAAGTTCCAAGCACGGTTTTGGGGTGGGTGGGGGGGGGTGGAGGAATCTAAAGCTACTACAGTACAGGGGAGTTTTAGAAACCAACCGCTGAGTGAAACTACAAATTGTGAATTATAAATTACTCGTAACTTTTATCTTATTTTATTTCATTTTACTTTTTTTTTTAAAAAAAAGAACCGGGAGCTCAGAGCTCTGGCGGTAACGCTGCTCGTCCGTGAGGTTCCCCAGCGCGTAAATATTACTTAAGATTCCGTGAGTCTGGCAAGATCCCGTTGCACGTCCCTCACGTCGTACGTACAGCTGCTGTTACTAATGCTACGTGACATTCTCCTCGCCGGAACAGTAGTCAACTGGTGTCACTGAGCACCCGGGCCCTCACCCCGCTGTGCGCCCACAGTTCTGACACTTATTAATATTATTATTATTATTATTGTAAACTGAGGCCACGCGCCAGCTGAACAACCGCGCGAAGCTTCCGTTCGTTCGGTTAAACGTCGTCGAATCGAACACCGCGCCGCCCGACTTGATCGCTGCGATCGCGCACGCATCATCCGGTGGCATCTGAAACAGAGAGAGAGAGAGAGAGAGAGAAACAGAGAGACCAAAAGCCATGTTGGTACACAGCACACAATACTGTATCGACTGTTTGGGGGGGGGGGGGGGAACGCTGCTGTGCGCGATCGGCTGCCCCGTTTCGCCCACAAAAAATATACAGTCACTGCATATTCTATGAAGCGCTTTGAGACGTCTCAAGTAAATGGTCCACCTGCTGTACACGCAAGGATTACTATTGTAAACACACAGTCACTCCACTTTACAGTATAGCCTGTGAAGCGCTTTGAGACGTCTCAAAGACGTGATAAGGCGCCGTCGTATCCAATGCAAGGATTATTATTACTTTCAATGTCCCTGAAGTTGGAGTGGGATGGACCTTGGTCTCCTTTTTGCCGAGCAAGTTCTTATATGAACTTACGATCACCCGATGGAGGGACGATTTGGAAGACAGAGTGCCCTTGTAGCTGAGCGAGCGGCCTGTGTACACAGTGCTGCCGTCCACTCCTAGGAGACTGTCATCTCTGGCTCCGCTCTCCAACCGAAACGCTGTCTTCTTCAGCACGTGCAGCACTACTCCAGAGGTCCTCAACATGTCCTGCAGGGTCTCCACAGGGAGCTAGCAACAACAACAGCAACAACAACAACCAAAAGCGTTACCGGGTCTCGAAAGGCCCACCAGCACGTTAAACGGGTAAAGACGACCACTGGAGTTAGCCAGAGCTCCTCCACATGCTCTGCGTCAGGCAAGAGTTGGGTACAAGGTCCCCTTTCCATGGTTTGATCCTCTCCTCCTAGTTCAGGAGAACCTTGTACCTTTGCTAACAGCGTTCAATGAAAGTTACGGCAAGTGGGTATTTCCAGTCGGTTAAATGTTGGGTAGTAACTATGGCAACGATAGATACCGAGGAAAGTCAAATTTGCGTTACAGTTTAACGGTCTTTTTTATATATAGATTATATATAGAGATATATAAAAAACTCCCTTGTGCTCAGAAACGGTGAGAGTCAGCGTTAGCTCAGAGACGTGAGGGGAGGCACAGTCAGGGTGTGGACAGTGTTTAGGTACCTCAGCGTGTCGGTGACAGGAGGAGCAGGGCAGAAGAATCGCGGTCTTGCTGGCTCCGGTACGGAAAGGCCACTGTGTGGCTAGTTTCACGGTGGCTGACAGGTTGCGGGACTCATTGCGGGTGAACGTCAACAGGTGACTAGGAGGTACACACGGGAAAACATGAGAGGTAAGACACGCGGGAATGTTGAGCGCTTCCAAATCCTCTGGGTTTAAGCGCTGGGGGACGCTCCCTGCGTGAACGCCGCTAAATAACTGCAAGTTGATGTTCAAGGTGAACCTCGTTAAATCCCATATGAAGGTCCAAACCCTTGAAAAAAACTCCCTCCCCCACCCCCCAAAAATTATTTTGTTCGCTTGCAAAATCTGCTGTGCGCAACTTGGCTGTTGCATTCGCCTACAAAGACACAGTCACTACACTCGACAGTGAATCCTGCAAAGCGCTTGGAGACGTTCCTCCTGAAGCCAAAGACGCTGCGTGAAATCCAAGCGTCATTATTCTTAGGCTTTTTTCTTATTAACTTTGTAACCCAAAGATCATTTGCTTTTGTGGAGAGGTTGTGGGTGTCATGTCAGTGTAAGTAACGCTGCGAGACTCACCTCATCTCGATTCCCAAGTGCTGTTGCGAATAAGTTAAGTTACTGCCGTCCACGGTGTCGAGAGGCTGTTCGTTGTCATGTCCACTTTCACCAAAGCCAACCAGACCAAACCGCACATCAGTGACTCCTGGAAAAGGTAAAGGCCAGCGACACTGATAACGGGAACGCCCGCCCTCTCTCGTCGCCGTGATTTCGTGGACATGAAACCGATGCTTTGGTTTTACGTTCAGTTTTAGTCCAAATCGAGCCAGAAGTATCCCTTCAAATCACGTAAAGCACATTTTCCTGGATATGGCCCACAAAATATACAGTTGATACACTTTACGGCGTATCCTGTGAGGCGCTTTGAGACGTCTCGAAGACGTGATGAGGCGCCGCATCAAGTGCGAGGATGATAATTATTATTATACATATTATTATTATTAAACAGCCTCACTCCATACCTTGGTTCCTGAAAGCTTCGACCAATGAGTGCACGAGGGCAGGGAGTTCTGCAGCGATGGGTTTGTTGCAGTCTTTCTCTTCCATCAGGAAGACGACATCCGCTGATGTTAAAGTCATTCTTTCCTCGGTTGCCATCGCTCCGTCCTGCTGCATTTTCTCCTTGCCGCTGGTCACTGTGACAGGAAGAAAATGGCCTTTAAATACACAGCACCATCACCTCGTTGGTCCATGGCTTTAGTCTCAGTTTGTCAGCAGTTGTTTTAGGAAAATTCCCGGGGCATTTTTTTTAAAAAGGAATTGTCGCCGTTGGGGACTGAACTCAACCAGAAACATTAAACGCAGATTCCTAAAAAAAAAACAACCAGTGCTTTACGTATTTGTTTTCAAACCTTAACGGCGATCGAAATAATACGGAAGCAGGAACCTAATAAGTAATAATCCTCCAATTATCAAATAATATTCTGGAAAATTTGCCTAAAATTCTGTAAAAACTGCCCAAACTGTATCGAAATCGCCATTACCTTTATTGTTATTGTTATTATTGTTATTACAATTATTATTATTATTATTATTATGGAAGGGCAATTGGCTAGTAAGGAATTTTGAAGTGACTGCTGGGGAATTGCTAAGCGCTGGTGGGGAACGTTCCCCCATTACTCTTTATAGGTTAAAAAAATGCCCCGGTGTAGGTTCGCAATGCTTGGCCATGATGTACCTACCGCACTGCGATGGGATATTCAGGGGGACAAAGTTCCTGTTGCACAAGTGGACAAAGGCTGCCGCCAGGTTGCAGGCCGGCCGGAGATCCGAGGACTCACACATGTCATTCAGGCACATGTCGTAGAACGGGACAGGATCCACCTGGAGAGCACAATAAGATCACACAACCTTCCTGACTGATGTTCGTTGAGACGCTCAGTCTAAAATTCTACGGAGGACGTGCGATACAGTAGAGCTCTATGGCGACCCAGGTTGGCGTTAATAATAATAACCCTTGCATTTGGTACGGCGCTTTTTTTATCACGTCTTCAAGAGGTCTCGCAGAATTATACGGTAAAGTGTAGTGACTGTATATTTGGTGGGCGAATCGAAGCAGCCAATTGCGCCCAGCGGTGTCCCGCACACAGTCGCGGATTGAGTGACCAAATTATTATTATTTGTTTATTTGTTTGAAAGGGTTATTACCCCCGGGAAAGCGACCTGCCAATCAACTAACAACCGAGTTCCTACTTGCCACGAGCTAAACAGAGGCGTGTGGAGTAAGGAAACGCAGCTAACATACAAGGCACAGATGCTCAATTTACTCAAGAAAAATGACTTGGGTCACTCGATACAGACTAGCCTTGGTATGACAGAGTCTTTCCTTAACAGTGGAATGCACCAAACTGACTATTTCCATTTGCCCAGCGACGTACCACTCTGAAACAGTTCCTGAGCGGAGAGTAGGTGTCCTTGAATAGAGATTTGCAGATGTACTGAAAAGCATTGTCAAAGCACGATTTGATCTCCCGGCTGACGAGACGACACTGAGCATCGGTCTGATGGAAAGAAACACAGAGAGCAGAAGTCACGGTAAGATTCATAGCGAATTAAATCCTGCACCGCTTTTTTTTTTCTCGAGAGGATGGGTTTTATGTATGCCTGGTTAATTAAACTATCACTCACACTATGCTCTTGTGGTTCCTTGTATTTGCTTCATCATTGCTGGGAGATATTAATGTCGGTCAATTACCACCTCACAAGGGTTCATCACTCTTCCCTTATCAGAGATGGAAAAGGACCATTTGATGGTTTGTGATACCTATGGCTGGAGGAGACTTATCCTTGTGGAAAGGTCGTTTCATCCTCAGAGGAATAAAACCACCATAATTCCATCCTTCCACAACTCCAGGCAACTTCCATTTTAATTGTACGTATAATTCAATGGCACAGCTCGCACACAACCAACTCGAGAATTAATCCCTTTGAGTTGTTCGTATTTATCTGACCTGAGCACTTTTTAACGACTTAATTCCGAATGAAAGAAAATGCATTCTACGCAATCAATTCGGAATAAGCTCTCCGTAACGTTAAATCCTAAGCTTCATCGACCAACCACATCCATCCTTCCGTCCTCGGAGGCTTTATTTTTTAGATAAATAACAGTAAAACCCAAATCAATTTCTCCAAGCTCACAGCGTCTCCTCCCAACACCATGTGCACGGCGTTTAAGAAGCTACAATCAGTTTGATTGGAGCACGATCGTGATATAATAGGTTTTTGATGGAGTACACAGGGAGAAACTGTTTCCACTGGTGGGTGGGTCGGTAACCAGGGGACGTAGATTTAAGATACTTGGCCAAAGAACCAGAGGAGGAGATGAGTATTTTTTTTTTTTACACGCATAGAGAGTTGTTACAGTCTGGAACGGCCTGATTGGGTGACTCTTCCAAAGGAGCTGGCACAAGGCACGATGGGCCGAATGGCCTCCTCCTGTGCTGTAATATTCTAGGATTCTGTGATCTCAGTGGAAGTACGTTACCTGCCACTTCTGTGCAAACTCCTGGAGGTTGGCAGTCAGTGAGTGGTCGGGGAGCTTGAACTCATTCCCAACTTCGTTATCATTTGTGCCAAACAGGCCAGCGGACACACCTGCACTTGACAACAACAACAACAACAACAAATGACACTCGCACATTGCCCTTCGCGTCGGAAAGACGTCCCAGGGCGCTGGACAGTCAGGGTTTTTTTGGACCCAAGTTGGGAGTTGGGGTTAGGAGGGGTGGAGAGTAGGCTGGTTGGGGGTGGGAGGGTGGCCGAAAGCATGGTCGAAGAGGAAGGTCTTTAGACAGGACTTGAAGGAGGCAAAGGGAGGAGAGGGTGAGGCGGAGGGATTGAGGGACAGAGTTCAAGAGCGTAGGGGGAACAACAGACAACAGGTAAAACAGTTAAGAGCTAACCAAACCGGAAACCACTCGGCTCAATTCTCTCGTCAGCGCCCATTACGTTTCCGTGAGGAGACGGCATAGCATTGAAAAGGGCGGCATTACATAATCCGTGTGTTTGCTAATCTCAGCATTCGCAGTAATTGGGAAAGCTCTCTTTCCGCTGTCTGCTGACACTCGAAAATGTTGAACGTAGTTCGTTGCGACGACATCGCGATTGGGTTTTCAAAGGAAACTATTAAAAGTGCAATTTGTTTTCCTCTGTAACACAAACCCTCCACTGGTTGAGTAAAGAACTGCACCATCAAAACACCTTTTTTTTAAAAAAAAAAGGACTCGGAATTTACGGCGAAGATATAAAGAGTTCTTCTTCTACTGCTGAGCCCCTGGGTTTGGGTGTGAGAGGTAGACAGCAAATAAAACGGACACGTGTGTCCCTTTAAACGGAGAGACTCGGAGCACTGACCGTGGTACCATCCTGCGAGAGTTAGGCTGCAGACTGCATGATGTGTGTCGCACGACACAGTGACCCCATTCTGATTTGACACCTCGACTCGGTTAAGCTCTCTTTTGACAGTCACTCCGTTCTTCAGTAAGGGCAGGTCACTGGGCTCGCAGTTCTCTTCCACCTGCAGAAACCCACCACAAACTCTTACCCCAAAACCTCAATAATATTCACTGCATTTGATATAATAATAATAATAATAATAATAATCCTCGCATTTGATACAGCGCCTTATCACGTCTTCGAGACGTCTCAAAGCGCTGCGCAGAATATACTGTAAAGTGTAGTGACCGTATATTCTGGGGGAAAAATATAGCACCTTTCATGTCAGGCGGATGCCTTAAAGTGCTTCACGGGATGCACCGAAGAGTGTAGTGACTGTGTATTTGCCAGGCAAACAAAATGGCGTCAGGGTGCACACTAGCTCTCTGAAATATCGAAGGCAGGCGCTGACCTTCCCACCAACACAGTCAGAGACAAGGTGAAGAGGAGGGTTATATTCGACTTAAACCTCATCATTGCTCGCCTGGTCGATACTGAGTGACCTTTATTCCAAATGTTGGCGCGAACAAGATGGAGAACAGGTTTAACCATCGCAGCAATAAAGATACAGCCTGAATCCACAGGCGCTTCTTGTACCTTCAGTCCTGGATAGATATCAATGACCGTCCGGTTCATTTCCACGCGCAGTGAATTTCGTCCACTGCTCTCGTGGTTCAGCATCACCGTGAACGTATTCCGCAGAAAATCTTTAGCCAACAGGAAACTGCAGTCGCTCGCAAAGTCGTACACCTTCCCGTCAAACGTCATGCAATGCTTGTCTCCGATAAGCAGGGCTTGATCTGCAAAGCATCAAGGCCAAGGGTTTCTCAATTTGGTAAAAAAACAAAACTGTGCTCCGAGCAATAAAAAGTACGTTCAGATTACCGCAAAAACCAACAGAATCCCCTTATCACAAGGCGTTCCCCCCTCTTTCCTCGGCTCCCGCACCGATGGCTGCAGCCGGACAACAAGAGATTTTCTTTCGCTCCATCTCCACATCGAGGTAAAAGGGGAGCAAGATGTTTAAGTGGTGACGGGGGAGGGCAGGAGGGAAATAGAACCGGGTCGGAAAAAAGCAGGGGAGAGGTCACTTACGTTCAAATGAGCTGTCCATCATCCTGTGTTTCAGTCTGTAATATTCTGCGGCTGGGTTGATGTCGTACAAGCTCCTGAGCGTCTTTATCAGTTTGGTTTCAACGATGTAGTTGGTGATGTTAGCAAGGTCAAACATCTCCTGTCCCGTGTGCCACCACGGCACGTTCACTGCGACGGAGCAATTTCTGCGGAGACAGAGCAGCGTCGCGCATAAAGGAATGATATAGAAGAGACTGGAGAAATGGCCGCTCTGAAATGAGCTTTTTGAAACGTTCCTCCTGTGATTTTTTTTTCCTTTCTCGAAGGCCAGGAATGTAGATGAAGGTTCTTTCTTCCGTAAAGTGTGGAGTCCTGAAGGGGACTGGTCAGCGCTCTCGTCTCGCAAGCGAGAAGGCCCCCTGGGTTCGATTCCCAGCCGGGGCGAAACCTTACTCCACACACACGCGCGCACATACACACGCACGCACACACACACGCACACACTCACACTGTTTACCTTGCAGTCAGTAGGAACCCGATTGTTTAGTGGATTGGCGGATCGCTTTCCGTGGGATAATAATCGCTCCAAATAAAAAGAATCTAATTTACAGTACATTCTGCGAAGTGCTTTGATAAGGGCTTCTCAACAACCTGATAAGGCTCTGTATCAAATGCAAGGATTACTATTACTATTATTATTATTATGATGATGATGTTATTAAATGAATCAACGTCTCAGCTGGAACATATCCAATGGCCACAGCAGCTTTTAACGCATCCCCGATCCTTACCCTTGCGAGTGTTTATAGAGATCTGCCAGAGGCTTTCGGATCTTGCTTATTGCTCTGGAGATTTTTGTCTCCATCCATTTCAGTAGCTGCTGAGCCACCTGTTTAAACACAGGGATGGGGTGGGGGGTGGAGAACGGACATCGTTACAACAACACCTTGTATTTATATAGCACCCCTTCACCTGAGCAGCCTCTCGGAGAGCTTAGCCTTTACAAGTAACGCCTGAATAATGCATTCATCCACAAGATATACAGTCAATTCACTATCAGGTCTTCTAGACATCTAAAAGCGCTTCACAGGAAATATACAGTTACTACACTTTACAATATATTCTCTGAAGCGCTTTGAGATGTCCTGAAGACGTGATAAGGTTCTGTATCAAATGCAAGGACCATTATTATGATGATGATCACTGTTATTGTTATAGTTATTATTATTATAACCAGGCTATCGATTAAAACCCACTACTCACAGTTCACACCAAAACAACTTTAGATTTTCACAAAGAGCAAACTGAACAATCTCGGCTTAGACGAGATCTCGGAACACGAAGGTTGTGTAACCCGACTGCAAAAATTTCGGGGCGACTTCAACGAAATTTCCTCAGCGATGGCGTTTAGACCTTTGCGAGACTCACCAGGTCGAACGTTTGCTTGGTGGTGCGGAGCAGGCTTTGGACTGAGTGCATCAGCCAGGTTTCCTGCACCACGTTTGGTACGAATGATTGGACCTTCTCGAGGTACTGTTCGGTTTTGCGTCTCCACTCTTCGTCGAGTTCCTTGAGCGTCACGTCGTAATACGCGCCTTTTAGCGTAGCCACGGGCTCTGAAAGTCAAATCCGCAGCCTGGTTTCCCAAACTCGCCCGTCACCTGCCCCAACACACACCCCAACACACCCTCGAACATACCCCCCAACACACACCCCAACACACCCTCCAACACACCCCCCAACCCACCCACCCCGCCCTCCGTCTCTTTGCCGCCTGGTTACTCACTTTGCAGCTCCCCCTGTAGCTGCTGCAACATGTCCTGCAGCTTGGCCAGGTACCAGGGGAGCAGGTCCAGCAGCAGCCCCCGAGCCCGGCTCAGCCTCCACAGCTGCTGGAGCGTTCTGCCGCCGTTCCTGATGGCCTCGGCCGTTCTCCGGGACACCTTCAGCGCCCAGCCGCACGCCTCGTACAGGAATTCCACCTCTTCCACCTACGGAAAGCGCACAGCGGATCCGGTCATAACTTTCAAGAGGGAAGTGGGTAGATGTTTGGGGTGGCTATAAATTTGCGGGGCTGTGGGGAGGGAGAGCAGGGGGAGTGTGAGTGCGGGGTGGGGGGGTGGGGATTGGGATTAATTTGAACAGCTCTTTCAAGAGCCAGCACGGGCACGATGGGCCGAATGGCCCCCTTCTGCGCTGTATAATTGTATGATTCTATAAGACATACCCTGTAGCTCACTGCGTGTGTGTGTGTTTGTATATAAAGGATGTCACTTGAGAACGACACCTCATCTCACATAAGCCACCTCGCGCCGCGCTTTCAGTCACCACTCCCGGAAACTCTGGAAAACTCTTCCTCTACCCCTTCCGCCATTACCTCCGCTCCTTCCCCATCTTCAGGTCTCGCCCGAAGACCTCCCGCTTCGACCGCGACCGTATCCTTTCATACCTTTAACGTATCTAATTGTAAATCGGTGCGGTGTTTGGGTTCCGCGGCACAAATGGACGCAATCAGTCTCAAACAACCTCGGCAAGAACGGCGGGTCTCAGGCTACTCACGCTCTTCCTGAATTTCCAAACGTGCAGGTCGAAATCTTTAACCTTTTCCAGCATCCGCGCCTTAAGATGCAAAACTGTTTCGGAGAGTTTGGTCTGAAAGCAAAAAAAAAAAAGGAATAATACAACGTGACTTGCAAAGGGCTTCGAGATGGTTTGACCATACGATAAGGCGCTACATCAAGTGCAAGGAGTGCGTGGTGTGTCGGCCTGGCTCGGTGGTAGCACTCTCGCCTCAGAGTCAGAAGGTTGTGGGTTGAAGCCCAACTCGGGATCACGTTGTCTAAGCTGACGTTCCTCTACTAGCTGCCATGTTGCGCCCACAAAATATACAATCAAACGGCTTTACGGTATACTCTGTGAAGGGCTTTGAGACGTCTCGAAGACGTGATAAGGCGCTGTATCAAATGTAAGAATTATTATTATTATTATTATGGGAGAAGATGTACAGTTTGACAGAGTGAAAGATACAATCCTTTAACAAGGGGCAGGCCAGGCGGGTCTTTTGTTGTTACCTCTGCTCTTGTGATGACTTCCCCACAGCCTTGCGCTGTTATCCTCAGTACACTCTGCCCACTTTGGTTGACCATGGCAGCTGAGATGTGTCCCAGGTTCTCTCTCAGCGTGCTGTTCGAGCTGTGATACAGCTCAGCCTTCGCGTTGCTCTGCCCATCCGAACAAGCCACCAGCTCTACTCCCTCTTCACCCGATTCACCTTTGGCAGAGCCAAGACTCTTGTGTTACACAAACAAACAGATGGCTTTTATAAAGCGCCTTTCACCTCAGGAGGGCGTCCCGAGGGAGCTGGACAGTCGTGGGCTTGCACCCAACGTAGGGGGTGGGATTCGGGATGGCTAAGGGGGCCAACGGAGCTGGGAAGGTGACCGAAGGCGGGGTCAAAGAGGAAGGTCTTCAGATGGACCTTGAGGAGGAGAAGGAAGGGGTGAGGCGGAGGGACTGCGGGATGGAGCTTCAGAGAGGGATCGGAGAGTAACACAGCAAAGACGATGGAAACAATATTGGGCAACAAAACAAAACAGCTAAATAGTGCTACACTTGGGCCTGTTTATCGAGCTACACAACGGAAGGGGTGACTGGGGCTGTACACTGTAATAATAAATAACAATAATATTATACACTGTTTACTGATGACTGTGTCACTATGGGAGTAGGACCCAAATTTCTGCACCTCCGAACTGATAGAGACAGGAATATCAAATGGGAAGGATGCATTTTCTCCAGGAAAGTGGAAGGGAGTATTTCGTAATAGTTGTTCGATAAAAGAAAATGTTATCCGAATTTCTGGAAACGGCAGAAATGAGCGAATTATTCTCAAAACACCAACGACCCATGTTAATCGCTGGCCTTTATTCAGACTCCATCAGTAAACCTGGTGAGCGGGGAGTGGTGGGGTGGGGGGCGGGGAACTATCTTGCTGGATATATTTTTGAAAGAGAAGAGGGCAGGTACACTTTTAAGTCCATTTACTGGGTAGAAATGGGAAGAAATTCTACCCGAGTCTAGATTTATTCCACAGACTACCTATCACATCGCAGAGCCTACAGAATTCAACGGCAAACTGTTGAATTCAGTCTCAACTTTGAAATCATTTCTTTTTCTACAGCCGTTATAGGAAACTCGCAGGAAAAATGAACGTAAGGCTGTGTTTGAGAATTTGCAAGGTGCTCTGAAACGCTATATAAATCCACGGCTGTTTGCGGGGAACGCTGCTGTGTGCAATTGGCTGCCGCGTTTTGCCCGCAAAATATATGCAGTCAATTCATTTTACAGTATATCCTGTGAAGCGCTTCGAGGCGTCTCAAGGACGTGATAAGGCGCTGTATCAAATGCGAGGATTATAATCAATATTATTATAAATAAACCAGAGTGGAATGTCTCCCATTGACTCTCTTACCATTAGAGACTCCAGTGTAATATTGCAGACATCCCTTCTCATGAATTGCGGCCAGCTTAACCTTCTCCTTCTGATCGATCAATCCCTCCAATTTTATTCTCTTGCTGACAGCTGAAGCAGTGTAAGTGCCCAGCAGGTTGAGACGACTGCTTTTAGAAGCCTTCCACTGAGATGAAACCCCCGAAAAAAAAAAAAAACGATATTTAAATGCTTCATTTTTTTTTCAGCTGGTCAGACTCCAGCAGTTACCCCAACGCACACTCTCTGGGGCAACCCAACCGGTTAAGCCTTGGCTCTTACCAAAAGAAATAGCGCAAATTAGGCCTCGATAATACTGAGAAAAAGGTACCTTTGTGAATTATTGATGGTGTGTGTGTGTGATGTGTGTGTGTAGTGTGTGTATGTGCGTACCTAAATTGTAACGTACTAGAAAACAGCTCCCCTCAGTCCAATCTCTGTCCTGTCAGAGCAGCAGTGAGTGTGATTTACCTCCACAATGAGAGAGTAGTTCTTCACTTCAGCCTTTCCGTAGTCCCTCAGGGTCACTCCCGCCACCAGGTCCTGCGTTTCGTCACTGGAGAGGCCGAGCCGGGTTTCGGAAGAGACGATAACTTTTCCTTTATTCCGCTGATGCTTCCCTGCCACCTTAATGGACTGCAAACAGGTAAACAGACAAGCAACCAGAGAGACGTGCAGTTATTCTCTTGCTATCCCGCACGTCACAGGCCTCTTCGCTCACTGCGCACCGACCCACATCTCCTCATGTAGGTTAGGAGGTACGGTTTGGTTTGGATACTCTTAAGCAACGGTGATGGATTTCCGCGTGTGTCAGATACCTGGCTGCCCCCCTCCCCCCCCCCCGCCCCACTACCCCCCGGAATAAATCCGGAAGTCATTTCCCACAACGAGGGCAGAGCATCACTGGCCACGACTGATTTGACCCTGAAATGGTCCAACGTTCAAATCAAATCCTTACCTTGCAGTAGCTCAGTTTTAGGTAATGGTACAGTTGGCTGTGATAGTCAGTCTGGATTCTGCCCAAAAAGCCCTGCTTCCCGCAAGAGGAGACGAGGACATTGGCCAGAGTCACTGCGACCTTGAGATCGTCCGGCTTCTCAGGTCTGTTGCGCTGCAGGAAGGATCATACACAAAATACACAGAGAATTCACTTTACAGTGCATCCTGTGAAGCGCTTCGAGATGTCGCGACGACGTGATAAGACGCTGTATCAAACGCAAGGATTGTTACTATTGTAAGAGGGTATTTTTTTTTACTGGTGTTTGGAGCATGGAATATCCCTTCGGTGTTATCCTGAAGAACTTGCTGGAAAACGCTGGAAAATGCTCAGTGATTATAAAAGCCCTCGTTGACCTTGTCACCTCAGTTTCACGCCGTTACATCTTCAGGATATTGTCCGTGGTCCTAGTCATCTCAAAACTCGGCCAGTCGCGCGGTAAGACTTTGTGCTAACGTGCGAGGTGGCACGATAGGATGGCAGCTCATCCAAGGCTGTTTAAATGGTTATTTCAGACACGTTGATATGCCTAACGCTGAAGCTTTACGGCGCAGTTCCGAGTGACGGAATTTCGTACGTTAAAACGTTTCACGGCAACAGATCATTCTTGGTGCACAACTCACGCGTACAAGATATAGAAGAATGAGTAAGAGGTCCGTTTTTCTCGTCTTTACAACAACAACTGGATTTATATAGTGCCCGTCACCCGGGGCAGTGTCTCGGAGAGCTTGACAGTGGCGGAGCCTGATGCCGAGCCGGGGAAGGAGGGAGGGAGGTGAGCGTAAGTATGGTGGCAGAGGAAGGTCTTTACCTGATAGTCAAAACTTTGGTCGACTTTCTTGTCGTCCCAGTGCAGTTGCAGGCTCTCAGCGAAGGAGTTCGGGCTGTTCCTGGCGGACCCGCAGGCTTGCAGCGATCGAATAACCACCGTGGGCTGTACCTGCCTCAGAAACAGAACAGCCACACAAGGAATTATGGCCCGAAATCACCGGTTCCCGCGCCCCCACCCCACCCCAAAGCCAGGTCACAAGACATTGCCTGACTTCACTCGCTCGCTGAAATCCATTCACCATCAGCAGGAGAGGGGACTACGCGCTATTCTAAACCGGCTTCAAAATCAATGCTGTGTTGAAGAAATTGCCAAATTCTGGATGCTGGGAAATGCTGCATAAATACGGTAAATCTCAACCCAAGGTGGAATTTCAGCCCCAACACATTTTGGAGCTGGATATCACTGTATATTTAACAGTGGCCTTTAGGCAACAACAGCAACAACAAGAAGATTACATGTGTATAGCGCCTTTCACGTCGGAAGAAACTATACATACAGAGGGTGACCAAAAGTCGTGATACCATTACAATGTCTAATAAGTCCTAAGGAAATGGTGATTTTTTTAGATAATAGAGTAGCTGAAAAATAAGACTTTTTGGTCATCCTGTACGTTCTTCGAAGACTTTTCTCCCACCAGGTTATTTTTCTCTTTGAGGCGCGAGGCAAGTCAGGTGTAAAGAAAGGGTCGTATGACAACATGAGGCACCTTTGGAAGGATCCGAATTCCATTCTAACTAGACCCAGGTAGGAATGAATACCTGGCCAGTGGCGAGGTCCATGCAGGTGTCCCAAGTCGTGACGTTGTTTTCCAATTTGTGTTCCAAAGTAAAGTTCAGGTCCATAGGCTGACCTCCGTTCCAAGCGACGTGAGCCTGAGAAAGGTTAAAGGTTAGTCGGACGCCAGGCACTGGGACAACATCGTGCCTGAGAATGGCTGGCCAGGTGACCCAAACCCAACTCACTCGGCAGGTGGTCACACCTCCCAAAGCTCAAGACTGTAATTGCTCCACAGTCACAAGCCAAGAACCCCCCACCTCCCCCACCCTCTGTCCCCTTCCCCCCCACCCCTGCGCGCTGTTCAAACCTGTTGGCTGTATTTCTCCTGGCTTCGTTCCGAGAGCGAGGTCAGCTCCAGCTCTCTCAAGGTGAGTTTGAACGGGTGCCGCAGGTTGGCTTTGCTCTCCAGCCGGTTCTTTTCCCAAAGCAGAGACGCCAATAGAACCACCTGAACCAACAGCGGGTCATCAAAACTGCAGTCTACCCATTTCTGCCAATTGTTGACTAACTCGCAGGTGTCAAACCACCTGCTCCCTCTCCCTCCCCCCTCCCCCTGCCCCCCTGCCCTCGAGACTGTCTTTCAGAGTACCCACCTGGTCCTTCTTGTCCCAGTTGATGATAACGACATCCTGGTGACTGAGCCGGGAATGGGAGAGGCTCATCCTCAGGTTGGATTGAGAAGGAAACGAGACACTGAACGGATGGAGAAAATCCACTGCGAAAAGAATGACGGAAGACACAATCAGGCACTGAATTGGCGGTGAACACGCTTCATGTGCCAGACACAGGCTCTGTGACGTTATCGGTCAATTCCAACTTGCGGACATTTTGCTGAGGCGCTGCTGTGAGCAATTGGCTGATCACAAGGTACACAGTCACCCCACTTTCCAGTACATCCTGTGAAGCACTTTCAAGCGTTTCCTCCCGACATGAGAGGCACTATATCAAACGTAAGGATTTATAATTATTATGAACTGGTCAATTTTTATTATTATTCTTATTATTATTCTTCGTCTCGCTTCATAAGTCGCTGTCGTTCTTGGGTTCCTAGTTTATTTTATTTTATTTCTTTTACCGTGAATTTCGTGGCGCCCGAAGATCTTCGGGAAAGGTCCGCTGTAGTTCCCTAAAAAATCCAGTTCTTTGTCTTCCCACTTTGCCGTGTGGCTCAGCGTGTGGGCTCGGCCCCTCTTCAGGTACCCGGTGCTGCACTCGAGTCTCTTCGGAACTCCTTTCAACTGGGAACGGAAAAATAAAAACGCAAGTTAAAAGCTAATCCTTAAATTCGATAGCGTCTCTCAAGTCGGGAGGACGTCTCAAACTGCTGCCCAGGATTTGACCGTCGAACAAACCCGACAGATTAAAAGGTTGCTGCAGCAAACATCGACAGCGAACAACAACAACTTGCATTAATACACCCCCCCGCCCCACTTCGCTCGGGACAGTGACTAGGAGTCGCTAATCGAACATCCGGGTTTTGATTCCGTGCGGTGTTTCAATTGGTTTCACGTCACAAACCCGTGGGAACGTGTGAGTCATCTCCAGGACTTCGCTGTAACCAGTTTCGTCGATTCGTAGCATGGTAAAGGCAGCGAGCTTACTCTCCTCCATTGCCACGTTCAGTTTGGCTTTGACCGAACCTCCAGAGTAATCAACCTGGAGACACGGGAAAGGTGGCCGACGTCAAGTGTCTCGGATCAATGAAAACGCCCGAGGCAGTTTATCGAAAACGCACGTCATTATTACACTTATTTTTTTTTTAAAAATGTCGGTCCGGAATATTCCTGCCGCCACGCACGGATTCAGTCGCTTCACACGCGCTAACACCTTCTGCGCTAAATCAGCGCGAGAAAGAAACGGACCTACCTTTGACCGAACTTCCACAGCACCGGGAACGTATCGCAAGAGCGCAGGGATATTCTGTAACACTGTGAGGTGAAGCTCCTTACTACAGACAGGAGGAGAATACGGTTATTTACAGTGAACAGTTGCTGCAATTAAGCAACGATTAAACAAGGAAACGTTAAAATGTCACTGGTTCAAGGCGAGCCCAATAATACTGTCAGCTAATAATTATAGTTCGGCTAATGTTTAATCACTGCCTATAAATCACACTTTTTTTTAAAAGCTTTGCTTACATTCTTAGACCACAGTCCAAGCCAGGGATCCGATGCCACTTTGGAGCAAAGCCATTTTACTCACAGAGGCTGTAGTGTTGTGGAGCAGAAACGCGTGGGTTTGATACCCTTAGATAGACTTCCGCGAGAAAATAATATCTGGGGATACTGTGCATAGTTTGGGGCACGACATGTCAATTCATAATAATAAATATAATAAATATAACAATAATAACAGTAATAATAATCCCTGCGTTCAATACCAGCGCCTCATCACGTCGTCGCGACGTCTCAAAGTGCTTCACAGGGACTCACCCTAAATAATAATAATAATCGTTGCATTTGATATAGCGCTTTTCACGTCGGGAGGACGTCCCGAAGCGCTTCACAGAACACACTGTAAAGTGAATTGACTGTATATTTGTGGGCGAACGCGGCAGCCAATTGCGCACGGGGCAGCCACGTGCCCACAAACAGCCGTGGCTTGAGTGACCAATTTTATTTGGGGAATTGTTGGCGGGGAACACAGGGCAGGCAAACCGGTGGGGCGTAAGAACCGTGTAAGTAACCCCATAGCTCGGGGGGGGGGGGGGGTCACGGTCCCTCTCGGGGAGACGTTCGATGAGCTGAGGTTTCCGACGCTGAGGATTGGGAAATAACGACATGGTTAAAAACTCTCGGACACGTCCGCTTGGTCAGGCTTCATCGCGGTTAGCGAACCTACTTGTGCTGTTGATTCTCGCCCTCAACGTGCACCTGGAGGCTGGTGTTTGGCCCATATTTCAGCGTCAGGGAGATGTCCAGGTCAGTGGTGTTGAGCGTTCCCCTGTAGTCGGCCTGAGCAGAGGACGGCACAGTGCCAAACACACGACTTACTGACGGTGCTGATCGCGCAAACGGAACGAACGCTTTTATCCGTGTTGCTGGCCATCCCGTCCCTGTTACCCGCTTGCAGTGTCGGGTGAACGGAGAGACGAGACGGGCACCAGTTATTTCCGTAATGCCCACCCTGTCGGAGCAACCCCCACCTATAACCGCGTTGCCAACATGAAGCAAAGACAGGTTAAAGGTAACAACAACAGCAACGATAATAGCGACAACAGCAACAACAGCAGCAGTAACAGATAGGCCTATAGCCGCCTGCAAAATGTTCCGCGCTGTTGTCTACCTGGATGCTGGGGGGCACTCCGAGGTCCGCGATGAAGGGGATTGTGTGCTCGACGCCAGCGATCAGTTCGATCGCTGCCCCCAGTGCAAGGCTTCCCGACCCGTCCACGCTGATCTTCATGTTCCTGCCGTCGTACTGCACCTCAAACGCCGACCTCGATTTAGTTCCTGGGTGGGAGAAAGGCCACCGTCGAACAACGTGAAGAGAGAAGCACAGGGTTAACTCGCGCACCGTACGTACACTGAGCGCTTGAAAGAGACGTTGTCCATTCTACTGCCTCCGTGCTCCATAGAGTCGCACAGAGGGGTTGGCGTCCGTGTTTCTACTGACATCGCACCTCCTGGTCTTGAAACGTCTCAAATCGCGCCACTGGCAATTGTCGGCAAGCGTCGAGGGGCCGGGCAGGTCTGCCGACAGGCAAACACACGGTCACTTTCAGACGTTCGACGATATGAAGAGGCACGCGATCAAATTCCAAAAAAGACCACGATTTGGATTTTTTTGGGGGAGGGGGCCCCAAAAGACAAGACCCTCCCTTTTTTAAAAAAAAAGTTTTAAACCCACCGTAAACCCCACCGAGTTTACAATGTCCGCTGTGAAACGCAGAAAGCAGCTGCGGAGCTTATTGGAAGCCCTTCAAAGAATAGTAATAAAAAATAATTTGGTGACTTCGATCCACCACTGTTTGTGGGGACGCCGCTGTGCGCGATCGGCTGCCGCGTTTCGCCCACAAAACACACGGTCCGCGGCACTTTACAGTGTATCCTGTGAAGCGCTTCGAGACGTGTCGAAGACGTGATGAGGCGCCGTATCAAATGCGAGGGTTATTATTATTATTATTATTATTATTTCTACCCGGTTGTGTTGGCACTCTGCCCCCCTGTGGCACAGCTGATGAGTGCCCTGGATTATCAGAAGCCGAGGGGGGGGGGAAATGTACACGACCTGAGCGTTGGCTGTGTGTTCAGCAGAGGCTTCCCGCGCGTAGGTGACACGCGTGTGAGACTCTCGGGTGATTTGCACACGTGTCGGACACCCGGCGGATGACGAAACAAGACCAGAAATGCCCTATTGTTCAGGCGGAGCGACTGACGTGGCGCCAATTGAAAACCCACCAGTTCTCTGTGCTGTTAATACGACCACAATCTCCTGCGGGTATCCAGCAGTCAGCAGCTTTCCGTTGCTGTGGCTGTTTTTGACGATGACATTGAAGCGCTGCTCGCTGGAAAAAGCCTTGAATTCGTACGTAATCAGCCTCGCACCGTCCACAATGATCTGTAGAGATCCCTCGACGGGAGCCAAGCTCTGCACGTAAAGGTTGATCTGGAAGAGCGAGCGTTTGCTTGTTAATTCCCTTTACAAAATAAAAAACACACAGTGACCGACAACACACGACCGAGTGCTTTGCGATGTCTCAGCGTTACAAACGGGGGGGGGGGGGGAGGTGGGGGGGATTCACTCCCACAGAATAACATTCCGTGGGAATTCCACCTGGGATTAGTTTCCCCCCCCCTGTTGTCTTGGTATTTCGGAGCACACACCACCCCCTCCACTTCCCCCACCGTGCCTTTCCGCAGGTTTGCCCCTCGATACGGGGCGATTACCTGCAGCGTTCCCGACACTCCGTATTTCAGCAGCCGAGACCAGTTGTGTTGGAAGTTGGCCGTGACTTCGGTCCGCCCCGGGCCGGTACTCCCTCGGGCTTCCACGTTAGCCAACCGCGACCCGTACTGCGTTTTCACCGTCAGAATCTTTAGTTCCTTCAGCTCGAGGGCAGCCTGGCACCGCGTGCAACAGCGTGTTGTTAGGATTAGAACAAAACCAGCAGAGGAGGAGGGGGGAGTCCAGACTACGATGGCAGACAACAACAACAACAACGACCACCACCACAACAACCACCACCACCACCACCACAACGACGACGACAGCAATAAATGACATTTGCATAGCGCCCCTTCATGTCGGAAGGACGTCCCCAGGCGCTGGGCTTTCAAGGATATCGTATGCCCAAATATTAAGTGATCGTTAAACCACTTGCTTGCTCAATCTCTAAACACGACGCGATGATCCATTGCCGCAGACGAAGCGTGTGGTCTTCTCCGTGGGGATGTGCGTTGGGGTAAAATGTTACCGTGCGCCTCGGAGGCGTAAGGCTGGGTAACCGGTTTAACAGCCCTCACGCAAAGGCATCGCAATGAGCTCACTTACCCGCACGTCGATTAGGTCCTCGATGTAAAGTTGCTTGAGCGCCTTTATATTGTGGGTCAGCTTGTAGTTCAAGGAAACGTGATGAGCTTCGCGCACAAACGTCAGCTCTTCAACTATCTAATCAATAGCAAAGTGACATTTACACAGCGCCGGCCTTTCACGTCACAAGGAGCTGGGCGGAACAGGCGGGGCATTTGGACCCCAGCTGGGGAGGTTGGGATCAGGGCAGGGGAGGGGAGGGGATAGGAGGGTGGCTGGAGGCCCGGTTGGTCGAAGAGGAGGGTCTTGAGATGCGGCTCGAAGGAGGTGAGGGAGGGAGGGAGAGCGGGCGATTCAAACGCAAGTCAATTCACAGCGTATTAAGCGGTGAATCCTCTCACAGCGATGTGCATTATTGTCACACACTGTGGGGGGGGAAGGCGGCGGGCGGGGGTGTTTTAGCTGGTCTGAACTCCCCTGACAACATTTCTCACTGACCCGCTTGTTATCGATGTGGATTCGGGTGAACCTCCTGTAGGTGTGGGCCTCTCTCTCCGCCGTTACAGCCACAACAGTGGTCTTGGGCAGGCCCAGCCGCAAGGCGCTCTCGACGTTATGAGTCAACGAGACGTCGATCTCCTGCTTGCTCTGCCAACGGGGAAAAAAAAACCAAAGTGTCCGGTTCACCAGGAGAGGCTTTGGACGGGGAGCCATTCCACCCGGCTGATTCGAGAGAGAGTTCAAAGGAACTAATCCTTAATAGGGTCTGCGGCGGGCGGCGCAGGTTAGTAGTTTTACGGCATCACGTGGCCCACGTTAAAGCAGTCGCTGTGTTAACTCGCTGAGCAAACCCCATCGTTACCTCGGTTTCGTTTCACAAACGTTGCTTTTCTCGTGGTAAAATAGTCTGGCCCGTGTGGTAAAGCGTTTAAAAAAAAATAATGGTCCTTGCCCCTTATCAAGCCATCGGGACATCTCAAAGCGCTTGACGGGATACACTGCAACACGGATTGACTTGACTTGTGTATCTTGTGGACCAAGTGCAGAACTGGGTACTTACACCAGTGCTGTTCATCATCACTAGACCTTGCAGCTTAGTGTCATCGATGTTTATCTGTATCTGCGAATCGAAGTTATTCCCCATCGTCACGTAACCGGAGCCATTTATTGTCAACGGTGCTCCCAGGTCCTGGAATAACAAGATGGCAGATCACAAGGTCAGCGCTGATGAAGAAAGTCCTTCGACCCGACTGATCTCTTCCCTCCAGAATGCCCACCCCTACCATCCTCCCCTCACCGTGTCGAGCTGCTTTCTGAATGAGTCCCAGTGTCCCGGCTTCAACCACCCCCCCTGGCCACCCGCTCCAATCATCAATTACCCTAATTTCTAAATCATAATATCAAAATATTGTGGGGAAGGGAGGGGCAGAAAAGCACACGGTGAAGGTACCTGCAGCGCTTTGCATTTATTCTCCATCACAAAGCTTAATTCAATCCTGTTTTCCACTTGAACGGAGCCGTTGACCAGTAGGTCACACGTTCCCAGTTTCAAATCGAAGGTGAGGTTGCTATTATTTGGTTGCTGCTCCGCAGTGAACGAGAGCTTCCCGTCCTGCGGGATGGCTGCCAACATCGGCAGGCGGTGCCTGAAGATGACATCCACGTTGACGTTTGGCTCGCACGCCGACCGGAGCTCCAGGTAAGCCGCGTTTCCCTCTAACTGGACCTCTGTGAGGAGTTCGGCTTTGCACTTCTCAACTTGAAGGGTCCCGTTGAATTGCGACTGAGCCGGAATCTTGAAGCCCTAACAGAAATATATAATCCGGGTTAATATTTTCCCGAAGAAGCTTCAAGTCGTTGAGCTCTGACACACCATCGCTGGAGATGTTTTATAACCGGGTTCGTAAGCTCAGACCCTCTGCATCGTAAACCCCCTCCCCGCTTTCGGGCCTGGGGTTATTTATTCATTTAAAAAAAAACCGTATCATTCATTTCCGACTAATCTGTTCTAACCTGAAGGACCTGACAGTCAGTCTCGGTCGCCCACATCCATTTGGTTTTCGTCCCCGTCGCGAGGTCACCCCGGGCTCGGACTCTGCACTTCCCGGACTGGAGCAGCACGGAGCCTTCCAGCGTGGCTCCCCTGACGGCCGACAGGACCAGCCGGCTTTCCCTGGGCAGACCCCGGTCGCTCAGCTGGGGGAGGGTGTGCCTGAGAAGCGCCTGCACCGTGTACTTGGGTTCACAAGTGGTCTCCAGCTGAAGCTCAGCTGTTTTCCCATCGCTCTGCAGACTGGCCTTCAGTCCAACGCTGCAGCTGTGGATGTGCACGGACCCGCGAGTCTCCAGGTCCTGTGGAACGCCCGCCCTCTGGGAGAGCAGGAAGAGAGAGAGAGAGAGAGAGCGAGGGAGAGAGAGAGGTTTATTCACACGATCCAGCCGTTCGTGTTCAGGTTACATAACACTGTTTATCCATGTCTCACATTGCTTTGGGCGGCACATTGGCACAGCTGGTTTCCGAAATGTGCTTCAGTGTACGGGAGCCGAACCTCGATAGCTTTCACCGTGTTGCGCGGCGCCTGCCCTCAACTGTTCAGAAATCTATTCCAGCCCCTTCGAGGCTGTTAAGAGCGAGTTACGAGTTTTGTTGACGTCCCTGCTCGGCACGATCAGGTCTTCTTCAGATGCTGCAGATGTTTCAGCCCAGCTGTGGAGAGCCTCGGGGTTTTTTTTTTAATACATGTTATATATATATCTATATATATATATATATACACAAGCATCGGGTTTATACTGACTGGAAAGAAAAGGCACATGGCAGGTCCAGAGGAAACCGAAGTTCCCAGGAGTCTCTTATGTGCTAAGAGGTTTTATTTTAGGAAGAGAGACATTTTACGATGTATTTCCCTTTCCAATGCTGACGCGCAGAATGAGCTCTGGGACGTGTAAAGAGAGAGCGAGAGAGAGAGAGAGAGAGCGAGAGAGAAAGAAAAGAAAAAGGGCGAGATCGCTTTGGAAGAAGAAGGCTCTTCGGCCCATCCCAACAGACAACCCCCACCCCCCCACCCCTCCTCCCCCGCCATGACAGCATCAGGCTGCTCTTCAAATGAGTCCCAGTGACCTTCCCTCAACCACCTCCCCAGGCAACCAGTCCCAGTCGCTGAGGGACCCGCAGGTCTGTTGGCGTCGGGAAGGCTCCGTGTCTTACCTGGAGGGCGGGGCATCTGTTCGTAAGAGAGGCCGACCAGTCTGTCCTCGCCCCCTCCTTGGCTCTGACCTCGCCCAGCGCTTTGAGGCCACATTTGCCAAGGGTGAGCTCGACAGACGCCTCTCGCTTGGGGGCCTTGGCCACTCTGACCAGTATCCTGCTGTCAGCGGGGACCCCCGCGGCCCGCAGCCAGGCCAGGGAGTGCCCGAACCCCAGGTCGAGGCCGAGCTTCGGGCTACACGCCGTCTGTAGCTGGAGCTGAGCGAAGGCTCGGTCCATCCGGACGCGGGCAACCAAGTCGGCCTCGCAGCGATCTGTCCTCATCGACCCGTTCACGAAGAAACGTGCCGGGGCCAGGCTCTGAAAACACAAGAGCAATAACGATGATAATTATTGTCACGACAATAATAATGATAACAATGGTAATAATCCCTGCGTTTTGACACAGCGCCTCATCACGTCTTCGAGACGTCTCCGAGCGCTTCGCGGGATAGACAAACGTTCGCAGGTTGTTACGAAGCTGGAGGCGGGTGGTGGGGGGGGTGGGGGGGGTGGGGGGGAAACTGCTGCAGAGGAAATGCAACGCTCAGTCATTCCTCGACGCTGATCTTGAACTGAACAGTCATCGTTCCGGTTTGATAACAAATGACTGACTGGTAGTCAGGTAAGATACAGACAAGCGAGCGGGGCGATGGCATCAATACTCAGCATAAAAGCAGAAGGCGCCGGGAGCACTCGGCAGGTCAGGCAGCATCTATGGAGAGAGGACAGTGAGTTAACGCTTCGGTTCCGACGAAGGGTCGTCGAGCTGAAAGGTTAACCAGCTTTCCTCCCTCCGTAGCCGCGGCCTGACCTGCCGAGCGTTCTCCGGCGGCGTCTGTTTTTGTTTCAGATTTCCAGCATCTGCAGTATTTCTTGGCCTTTGGCGTCAATCTCCTGTACCGATACCTTGACAACCGGTGTTGGAAAGCAACAGCAGTGGTTTGAGAGAAGCGCAAGAAACCTCCGCACGACTCGCTGGCGGATGGATTTGCGAAGCGCAAGATTTCGGCAAGTACGGGCGAAATAAATAAAAAAAAAGAACCAGGTCACTTTGGCTGAAGAAAGCCACGGTTTTTGAGAAAGTGCAGATTTCACCAAGTTTCACCCAATTTTTTTTTTTTTTGGATACCAGCGTAAAAAACGCAGCCTCTGAAATCCGACTTTTGGGGTTTCTTTTGTTTTTTTTTCCCGTGTGTCCAACCAAACCCTGATCGGAATTCGTTTAAAAAAAAAAAGAAACACCTGCCTACTCCCACAGTACAGCTGCCAACGGAAGTAGTTTCATTCTGTTCAGGGAATGAGACCAGGCAGCGGCTCGAACGACACGACGCCTCTCGCTGGTATATCGAAGCATGAGCGTTAGGCGGTTAGTTTGGTGTGGTCGGGCTCAGCCGGGCTGGGAGACGGAGATCAGGAGTCAATCGCAAGCCTTGAAACATGTGCCCCCTGAGCCTTCTGGCTGGGCGCATGTTTCCTTCTACCTCAAAGTAAGGGCATCGGTTGACGAGAGCCAAGCGCCACTTGGTAGCGATGCCCCTCCGGAGGCGCCCGCTCGCAGACGCTCTGCACTGCCCGACCGCCAGGTCCACGTTTACGTCCGCTTTCCTGCCCCTCGTGGCTCGCGCGCTCAGCCTGTTCCTCCCGGGAATGCCGGCTCTCCTCCACGTCGGGAGGGCGTGTTGGAGGAGCAGCTCCAGTCCGCGCCTTTTGCCCCAAACCGCTCGGAGCTCCAGGTCCACGGGCTTCGCGTCCAGTTCCGCGCTCACGGCCAACCCCACAGAACTGCCCGTGTAGTAGACGTTTCCCTCCGCTCGTAAAGCCTCAGGGACGTCCGCCAATCGCAGCGGCCTCCACCTCCGCTCCGCGGTGCAGGACCAGGTCCACCCTAGTTTGTTCTGGGACGCGAGGACTTCCAGGCTCGCGTTCAGGTAATTTCGGCCGTTCCGCAGCCGGAGGCCAGCGGCGTAAAGCCGCCGATCCGCCTCCGCGACCAATGTTAAGGAAAACCTCTCGTCCCTCTCCCTGCCGCCTCTCCCCGTGGAGTGGGACACTTTAACTTCAGCAACGTAGGCCCTGCGCGCCTGCCGTCATCCTGCACCGCGGCTGGCGAGACCCTGGATTCCACCCCGGTCCGTCCGTCCGGATCGCGGACTTTAGGCTTCACAAACCCACTGGCAGCCCAAGATTTTCTGGGAGAGGAACGGCCTGGCCTCCGATAGGAACCCACCCAACGCCACTCAACGTGAGGCACGACTGAGAGCTCCCCACGTGTTACAATTTCGCGTCCGTCGGCCTTCAGGGAGAAGGCGGCTACCTGCTGATTTAGGCTGCTTTTGTAAGACATCACCATCCGGGAGTCGTGCGGGAAACTCAGGGAGCGCAGGGCGTCCAGACTGTGGACCAGCCTGGCCGTGAGCTCTCGTCTGCGAATGGGGTGGTAGCAACCCTTGAAATGCAGGCCCTGCTCGTGGTGTCTGAGTTCCAGAGTAGAGCAATATCGGAGGCGCTGCTTTGTGAGTAAAACCTGTACCTCTGAGTGTTTGCCGTCAACCGCTCCGGAACAGTGTCCCAAAAGGTGCCTCGAGGAAGTTTCTCCACTGCAGTTCACCTGTCGAGACACAGAGAGAGAGTGAGAGAGAGGGAAACAGAGAGTGAATAAGATCAAACTTGTTCCTGGGCAAAGTGGATGGCTGCCCCACCTTCCCTATTTGTTTTCGTTAAATATTTTTATTTTTTTTTAAACAGGAAACGAGCGGCGTATCAATACTCCTGGGCAAATACGCCGTCTATAAATAACTTGCTCACAGTTAATAACAGAGCGGCCATTCACTTGGTGGCTGTTTGTGGGGCGAAACTGGGAGTGGGCACAAAACTGGCTGCAACCTTCGCCGACAAACACACAGGTTTCCAGTGCATCCTGCGTAGCGCTTTGAGACGTCCAGATGACGTGACGAGGCGCTACATCAAGGGCCATTACGATCATCGGGAATACCATCGTTGACGATACCCGCGGTTTCGCCCAGAAAATACACACTTTACAATAGATTTACGTGACGCGCTTTGAGACGTCTCAACTGCCGCGACAAGGAGCTTATTATCATTAATAAGGCACTGTTCCCAAAGCCCTACAAAAAAAAAACACGCTTTACCAATTTGCGGTCTAACCTGCATTGCTGTTGGTATCCATCTGGACAAGGCCTCCAGGTCTTGATTGAATGACAGGAAGATCTCTGCTGCTCGTGCCGTGCTCTTCTGCTCGATCTCTGCTCGGAGACCTTGCCCGCCCAACCCCACGCTCACACCGCCCACAAAGCCATTCCTGAGATTCTGTGTGAGGAGGAGCAAGAGAGACAGATCACATACCGCAGACCCACTCCATAAACGGGTCAGAAACCGGCCTTTAGGGGAGCTCAGTCACAGCGCCACAACCGGGAATAGGCACAGAAAAGGGGACGAGGGGAAAACAGGAGAGACCAGCAAGGAGACCGGTGCTCACCTGGTAACTGTAACTGGTGCTCACCTGGTAACGGTAACCGGTGCTCACCTGGTAACGGTAGCTCCCACTGGCCGAGAGAGGAAGCCCGAGTTCTCTCAGCTCCTCTACGCTGTGCTGGAGGCTGGCGTTCAGCTGGTACACCGGGGTCTCAGTAAAGGTCCTCTCGGTCCTCACGGAGGCCTCTAATTGCCGGCCGCCGCTCTCCATTTCAACCGTCACAGCCCGCTTGCTACTGGTGTGGTCATAGTTCAGAGTAAAAGTCCCATCAGCAGGTAAACCTGGGTCATTGGAACTGGGAATTAGCTGGACATCTGTCTTGGACAACGACAACTTGCCTTTACACAGCGTCCCAGAGCGCTTGACAATGGCTGAGCACCGGGGAAAGAGATGACCCTAGGCACGGTCGAAGAGGAAGGTCTTCAACGCGACCTGAAGATGGTGAAGGAGGGGGCAAGGCGGAGGGTACTCTCAGACAGTTTCCTGTGTTACATACATTCGGGGGTGGGTCTAATAGATGGTGATTTTTATCGGACCCCACAAAAAGGAATCTGTCCTCCAAGTATGAAAGGCGCAATATCAAATCTGAGGATTATTATTATTATTATAATTATTATTATTACTATTATTAGTGTTATTATCTTCTGGGAACGCCTTCCAGTAACGGTACGCATGTGACACGCACCCACATCATGGCAACTTGGCCCCCAAATTGTTAACGGAGGTTACAGATGTTTTACCTGTAGTTATTAATTCATCCAGGTTATGTGCTACTTTACCACTGGCTTTGATCTGGTTGCCTTTGGTCACCTGTAAGAGCTGGAAACACATAGATTTAGCGTCAGCCCGCCAGCAAGCCCGGCCCTCTCGCAACTCCTTCCCCAACTCTAAGTGCCCTTCGAACTCCGTCACAGCTGGCATTCTTAGGCTTCCATTCTGAGCCAAGGTCACAACCAGATGGTGGGCAACCCTGGCGCTGAAAGTGTTGTTGTTCTGAAGATGAATTCTGTAAAGGGCGTTGTCCACTTCAACGCTCAGTTCACCTGTGGGTTACGATGAGAAAGGAGATGTTGGTCAGCCTTTAAAATACTGCTCGGGTGAACATTAAAGATCTCATGGCACTCCTCGAAAAGAAAAGGCAGTCTCTTTCCCTCTCTCTCCCCCCCCCCCCACAGTGTCCTGGCCAACAATCCCCCCCAAGTAATACTGGTCGCTCGCTCCATGTCTGTTTGTGGGACTTTATTGCCGCATTTCACCCACAAAATACACAGTCACTCCACTTTACAGTATATCTCGTGAAGCGCTTTGGGAAGTCGAGATGATGTGATAAGGTACTACATCAATTGCAAGGATTATTATTATTATTATTATAATCACTCCCAATCCTTTCCGAACTAAAGGATCGAAGCAAAGTGCAGGTGTGAAATCCCGAGGGATTTACCTTCATTCACATCGTCTTTTTGTTTCAGATTTCCAGCCACGTGCAGGAATTGTGGTATTATCCGCCCTTCGTTCAGATTGTGTTTGGCAGAACCGCTGAACAACACGTGGAAACGCTCTGTGTCCTCCTTTGAGCCCATCAGGTCCACTTGAAGACCTCGCTCATCCAACGTCAGACTGGAAACCAGTGAACATCTAGACAGGCACACAGACTCTGAAGTGACTGTGGAATATTCAACCTGACAAAGCCGGAACGTTCAGGATCTCGCGCGCACAAAACACACAGTCACTGCCCTTTACAGTATAATCTGTGAAGCGCTCTGAGACGTCCTCCTGACGTGAAAGGCGCTATATCAAATGTAATTTTGTTGTTGTTGTTGGAACAGAAGTTACACCCTGTGTTATACTGACCTCCGCAATTTACGTACCTACACTCGTGTCTAATCTTACCCTGAATCACTTGCTTTGCCGGTTAGTTGAAACTGGCTCCTCTCAGGTGCACTCAGGAAGCTCTGCTGGACACCAGCTTTCACCCCTATAATCCTCGCGTTGCTTCGGTTTTCATTCACAGCATCAAACTCCACCACCAAGAGGTCTTCACCGTCGGAGTGAAGGTAGAAGGTGCCGTTGTAATTGGTCTCCCCATAATTCTTTGCAGTTGCGTACACCTACAGTTAAAAAAACAAGTTCCGCAATATTAAACCACAAATAATTCAGAGATTCAGCCAAAGCCCTGACTAAATATCACATATATGTGTATATATAATAATAATAATAATTTTTGCATTTAGGCCACACCAGCAGAACTTCCCCGCCTCCGACCCCCACCCCCCTCCTCCCACCCACACCTCTCCTCCCCCACTTCTCGTTGGGCGATGTACAAATGTAATTTTGTTGTTGTTGTAATGGGATCTTGAACATCCTCCTGAACAGGGAGCGAGAGCGCTAGCAACTGAGCCAGGCTGACATCTACATCAACAGACACGTGTCCAGACTCTTATGAATAACAATTACGTTCATAACAAGGGAGGCCCCTATGGAGAGGATTTGACACTGTACCTGGAAGACTTGAGGCATTGCTGTATTGTAGGGATGACTGAACTCGGAGTAAAGTCCCACCTGACTGTATGAGCCATTCACCTGAATGTGGAACTAGTTAAAGCACAAAAACAGAAATAATATAATAATCATTGCATTTGATACAGCGCATTCTGTCAAGTGAATTGACTGTGTATTTTGTGGGCAAAACGCGGCAGCCAATTGCGCACAGCGGCGTCCCACAAACAGCCGTGGATTGAGTGACCAAATTGTTCTTAGAATTTTTTGAAGGAATTATTACCCCCGGAAAAGCGATCCCCCAATCAACTAACAACCAGGTTCCTACTTACTGTTGGGTAAACAACAACAACAACAAACAAAGGCGTGTGTGTGGAGTGAGGAAACTTGCCTAAGGTTTTGCCCTGCATGGGAATCGAACCCAGGGCCTCTCACTTGCGAGGCGAGCGCTCTAACCACTGAGCTACAGGCCACCAGATTGGGATCATTACAGCGATCAAGTAACTTTGGGTTGACTATTAACTTGGGGCCACTCTGGCTCTGGCTCAGCCCCACGGTCTCTCCACAGCTTCTCACCTGCGATGTCTCCATCTTATTGACGGTGACTTTACAGTTCCCTCCATAGTCGAAAGTCTGCCCCTCGCTCTGTATTCCGAACAATTCTCCCTCCACCATCAAAGCTGTCGGGACCCGCAGCTACAGCAAAGCCGCCAGAACAAACACAGCAGTTAAAATAACCCCCTTCTTCTTGTGAATGTTATATCAACACGTTAAATGATCCGAACATGAACATTGTCATTAAAACGATTGATTATTCTTCAAAGGCATTCTTTGAAGGAATTATTCTTTTAGACACTGCATTGCATTAGTAGGGATTTGTGTGAGCATTGAGCTACAGCGTTGAGCATTCAGCTGAGCTTGAAGTAAACAACAACGACAAATTACACTTGTATAGCGCCTCACACACACACACACACACACACAAACTGCACACAGCTTTCAATCATTAAAGGAAAATGATTCTGCTCAGGACTCAGGCACAATACCATGGTCATTGAAGTGTCCTCTAAGTTAATTTATAATAATAATAATAATAATCATTCTTCACTTGATGGAGCGTCTTTCACATCAAGAGGATATCACAAACCACTTCACAGGATCCACTGTAAAGTGTGGCGACTGTGGTTTTGATGCGCATCAGCCAAACACGCAGACTGATTGAACACATTTTTACTCAGTTGGGTCTTTAAGCTGTCACTGCCTACAATGGAGGCAGTCACCACCAACAACAACAACAATTTGCATGTATCTAGCGCCCTTCACACGGGGTAGCGTCCTGGGAAGCGCAGTGATGCCAGCCCAGCCTCACAGGGCCTGGCCAGCGTCTGTCAGAGGAGGACAACCCGAACAGAAAGCTTGTCATACCAGCAAGGCATGGTCCATCTCAAAATGCACGAGGTACCAGCAGTCGGTGTCTGTGGATTTGTTCTGGTATTGCCCGTGGACCATCAAGGTCTCTTTTTGGTTAATTTTCACCGTGGCTTCGGCCTCATAATTTGACTGTAAACAGAAATGGGACAAAGTTCCTGGGCTTGAACTTCAGCTGAAGATTTGTATAATCTCAAAGCGCTTCATAGAACATACTGTAAAGTGAATTGACCGTATATTTTGTGGGCGAAACCCGGCAGCCAATTGCGCACAGCAGCGTCCCCACCAACAGCCGTGGATTGAGTGACCAAATTATTATTCTTTTCTTTTCAGGGGTGGTGGGGGGGGTTATTATCCCCGGAAAAGCGATCCGCCAATCAACTAACAACCGGGGGGGGGGGGGGGAGCGAGGTTGTAAGTGACACGGTCGAAGAGGAAGGTCTTCAGTCGTGATGTAAAAGAGGGGAAGGGGAGTACGGGAAGAAGCAGGCTGTGCCGGCACCACAGTGTTGTGGCGCGCAGTCATTCCAGTTAACGATTTTCTAAACCAGCAATGACTAAGTGTGGATATCTGCAGCTTAATCTACACTGGTGGAAGCACAGGCTGATGCTATTTTTGCCTCTTCTGAAATAAACTCACAGCGTTATCCATCCTTGTCCTCACGCAAACCTCCACGGTCCTCGGCACAATCTCTACGCTGTATGGGTGTGCCAGAGTGGCACAGACCTAGGAAAAGGGAACGTATTACTTACTTATTATTAATTATTACTATTATTATTATTATTACTAATACTACTACTGCTTACTCCCCAACCCACGACCCGGTGCCTCCGCTCGACTGGCTCCGGCCCTTATATAAATGTAAGTTCTTGCAGTTGTATGAAGCGCTGCAATAAACATTCAGCAGCTGAAGGAAAGCAGTTTCCGTTTTGCAGACCTGGAACCTGATGATGTGATGGAGAGGACCGACGGGCAGGTTACCTGGGAGGATGAGATCAAAAAGCCCAAGGGCCTTCTTCATCCAAACTTTCCTTATGATCGCTGGGCACCACAATAAATAATCCTCGTGTTTGATCTGGTGCTTTATCGTGAAGATATAATACTAATAACGATGATAATAACCCCTGCATTGGATATAGCGCCATATCGTGTCTTCGAGACGTCTCAGAGCCCTTCACAGAAATATACTGTAAAGTGAATTGAAGTGGGCGAAATGTGGATAACAAGTGCCCCCTGCCTGCCCGCCTGCCCGCCCAGCACCGATCCTCTTGCAAACTTACATACGGTGCTTCAGGTTGGTATCCCAGAGTGAGCGTGTGAACCGTTTCATCTTCCTCATTCACTAAGGCCTTTACTTCCAAGACATAACGTTGCTTTCTCTTATCCACGGTGAACGTCTCCTGCAGAAGGAGGTTGCGGGGGACAGGCAGCTTAAGAGAGTGTCTACAAAACAAAACAAGACAAGATTATTGAGTGGGTAAAACATCCCATCTCTTCACCTCGCCCTCCACCCACCTCCACTCTCCCGTCACTGGGGGGAATAAACAGTCCCTCCCAGTAGTATCTCACCACCGGTTAGTGGGCTGGTCGTGGAGGTACAATATTGGATGGCAGAAGTCCACAGCACAGGCATCTGTGTCCTTCACGCTCCAGAGGGCTCATGAGGGCCTTGAAATTGCACCTGGTTTTGAACGGCCATTTTGTTGTTTGGCCTCAACGGGGAGCAGTGGTCACCTGAAGTTCAGCGACGCCCGGTTCTGGAAGAGCAGCTTCTCCCTCTTGAGTTCCTCGATCTGTACATTCAGCTGAGCTAATAAAGGGGGAGCCTTGTGGTCCATCCATGAGGCCAAAACTGACAGGTTCCTCTTCTTCTTGGGCTGCAGATATAAGGCACATCATCAGGTCAGGGTCAGAGGTTACACAACTAAACCGATGTACTAATCCTTCTAAATGCTTCCTAATCCTCTCAGTAGTTCAAACATTAATAATAATAATAGTAATAATGATCTTTCTCCCTCAATCCCTCCGCCTTGCACCCTCCCTCCCCACTTCCCACAAACAGCCATCGAGTGAGTGACCAATTTTATTTGGGGGGATTTGTTGGCCAGGACACTGGGAGAAACTGGAAACAATCATCTAATAATAATAATAATAATAATCCTTGCATCTTGTCACGTTGAAACATCTGAGAGGTTCCATGATTTGTTTGTAAATTGCAGTGACCTTATCTCATAGGCGAATGTGGCAGCCAATCAGTGAGGCAGCAATGAACCCCAAAAAGAGCCAAAAAGTGAATAACCCAATTTGACCTGGAATCTGGACAAACTGGGAGAAATTCCCCTCTGTTTTCCCCCAAACGGTTACACGGGATTTTTAACGTCCACCTGGTCAGGCAGACGGGACCTCAGTTTAACGTCTCGTCCAAAGGATGGATTATAGTTGCCAAACCGATTCCTCTGACACTTGCTTTGCACTAAACCACTTCAGTGATTATCCCTATTCGTTGCGGGATGTCTTTGGCCTGTTGTGGTTGGACACGTTAGAAGCCGAACAGTGGCAATATCCAGCCAACACACATTTCATGTTGAGCCTCAGTTGATTTGTACACCAACCAGGAACACCGGAATACAATATTTTGGTTCACTGGAGCCTTAGATGCTGCGATTTTGTTCGGGTTTAATTCTAAATGAATTCTAAAGCTGGTTGGAACATGGTTTGACTTAGCGATTTCAACTCTTCAGAGATGGGAGACTTTACTCATTTTTTCAAAGAAAAGTTTTGTCCAAGTGAGTGTGGCCTTATCCTAGATAATAAATAATAATAATACTTACGTTGATTAAGCGCCTTATCACGTCTTTGAGACGCCTCAAAGCGCTTCACAGAATACACTGTAAAGTGAATTGACTGTATATTTTGCGGGCGAAACTCAACAGACAATTGCGCACAGCAGCGTTCCCCACAAACAGTCGTGGATTGAGTGACAAAATTATTATTATTGATTTTGAGATGTCTCAAAGTACCCCCTTTCCCCTGTGTGAATAACTCAGGCAGCGGCAAAGTGAATTAACCGGTTTACCACATATCACTGTGCCCCCAGATTACATCTCTCTCACACACACACACACACACACACACACACTCACACAGTCACTTCACAGAGTTCGAAACCTCACCTGCTCTCTGCTGGCATAGTTAGCGGTGAAATTAAATTCTTTCTTCTGTTGCTTGATCCAAAAGTACAAGGACTTGACTTTTTCTTTGCTCTCCACGGAGAGTGCGTTCTTAATAGGCAGGTTCCACCGAGACACCACTTCGCTGTGGCTTCTGAAAAAATTCTCACCAACGTGGCCAACCGCAGAGGCCTGAACAAGCAGAGCCATGTTTTAACAGTTGGAATAATAACTTGTGCGTATAATAACACAAATGTTTTAATAGCAGGACTAATGACTTGCACTTATAATAACAGCATTTCACACTGCCTGTCGTATCAACTTCAGGCCACTTGCTTGATGTAAAATAGACATCTCCTCAGGTTTCAAGGGGTTTATAAGGATTGATAACCCAAACTCCACTGGAAGCAGGAAGGAAACTATTGCTTTTCGTCCACAGAGCGCAGACTTTGCCTTAAAGACGAGCCGGGTCTCATTACTAACCTTCAGGTATGTAGTAGTGGGGGTATGGACGTGGATTCTGCCTTCCTTCTTGTTCCCTTTGTCTTTGTAGTAGGTGTAGAGCACCAGTTTCTTCACCGAAATGGCTTTTGCTGCTGTTATTTCTACGGTTGACTGATAGGCACGGCTGTGAGGTTGATTGAGCTTGTGTGATGTCTGGAGATAAAGCCATGGGGTGTCTAGGTTCAATGAGCCTTTCAGAAAAACGAGGAAAGGAAATTCTCACAAAAGGGTACAGATGGCAATCATTCCTAAGTGCACTTCAAAAGTTCACGTATAATAATAATAATACAATCCTTGCATTTGATACGCTGCCTTATCACATCCAACCATCTCAACGTATCACTTAGGGTTCACTGTAAAGCGTAATAACTGTGTTTCGTGAATGAACGTTGTAGTCACTTTGGCTCACGGCAAAGCCAGGTTTCTGCCTTGGACCCCGGTACAAGTCAACCCAACCAGGGCTGAAGGTGAAGGGTTCAAGTCCTGAGCCAGGGGTGTTGGCATTTTGTAACTCGCTTCCTCCGTTAGTTTTCCCCACGACCCCGACAGCAGGAAGTTTGACCCGCTCCGAGGAACTTTGTAATTTGGAAGCCGGTTCTTGGTAAGAACTCCAGAAATCCGGCGTCCGAAATGAGACATCGCCACAATTCTCCGCCACGTGACATGGTCAGGAAAAATAGATTTATTACGGGTTCAGTCAGACTGGGTGGGATTTCAGGCCTCAGATAAGCCGGGCTAATGTTCTGGTCACTTTTTGCGCTCCTTTGATGTTCCTACCTTCCCATTTCTTCAGACTGGGTTTCGACGAGTCTTTCCATTGCAGTCCTGCCAGGAAGGGGGTCTTGTCGTTGTACAGGACTTTGACCTGCGTGTTGCTCTCCCTGCGACCCTGCATTCGGCAGGTGTGCACCAGCTCGGTGCGGTAGTTAGCCTGTCTCTCCGGCATTTGCAAGGTGAACTGGACAACGTGGAAACAGTGCAAAACGGTTGAACAATGAATCACAATAATAATAATAATAATCCTTGCGTTTGATACAGAGCCTCATCAGGTCTTCGAGACGCCTCAAAGCGCTTCACAGGATACGCCGTAAAGTGAATCGGTCGCGTATTTTGTGGGCAAAACGCGGCCGCCAGTTTCAGCCTGAATTTAAAGAACCGGTCAATTTGTGCATGCGAGTAAATCGTGTAAGTCCAGCCCCGGGTGAAGGTTAACAACTCTAGTCCCTCCTCATCAACATTGGTTTTATCCCATCCCAAAAACATGGGTTAAAGTGATCCGAATCAGCTCTTATACCAAGCAATTTCCTTGTCAACATCCTGTTGCTTGAGACTCGAAATGTCCCTTATTTTCTCTACTCCAATTTCCTGCTCTCTACCTCCCACTGACGGCCCCTTTAACCTCTGTGGTGTGACAGCTCCAATCTTACTCCAAAAGCATGAGACGGTATTGTCCTGAACAGTATTGTATAGCGAGCTTTCAGTACTACAAGGCTGCTGTTCATGTAGGCAAGTAAGCCTCGAAATTACACCCAGTCTTTGCCTGTTTCGCCTTAAAACTTAAGATCACGCAAAGCTGCGGAAATTCTTCACAGATGTTGTCACCTTTCGGCAGCTGGGGTCTGCAGGCTTTTAAAACAAACTGGCTTCCAAGCTAAAACATTTTAAAAATTATTATTATTATTATTAAAACCGAATTGACGTACGTTTCACAAATATGTGCAACATCGACATTTTAAGATGAAAATATCTTTGGGGGCTAAGGTTATTATTAATAACAATCCTTGCATTTGATCTAGGGCTGGATCACGTCGTCGAGACGTTTCAAAGCATTTCACAGAATACCCTGTAAAGTGGAGTGACTGTGTGTTTTGTGGGCGAAACATTAGGTGAAATTTCCGGCTAAGGGAGAAGGTTTTATTTAGATCTCTAAGCATGGTAATAATAAGTAATAATCCCTGTTTGTAAAAAAAAAAATTACAAGTTGGTCACTCAATCCACGCCTGTTTGTGGGGACGCTGCTGTGCGCAATCGGCTGCCGCGTTTCACCCACAAAATATACAGTCAATTCACTTTACAGCTTATTCTGTGAAGCGCTTTGAGACGTGTTGAAGATGTGATAAGGCGCTGTGTCAAATGCAAGGATTATTATTATTATTATTATGATATATGGTGAGAGCAGGTGCCAGCTTGCCTTTCCACCTTGTAGATAAATGCTTCAGACAACATCACAAGCACACGTTAATGACATCCACTGGAACACTCGTCTCTGAACAATTCTCCGAATGAAACTACTGTAAAATGGCTTGCCTCCATCAGGTAGTTGGCGAGGCTGGAGCTGGAGTCGTTTTTGAACAGTTGGGTGATGAAAATCTTTTTCTTGTTATTGATCTCGTCCCAGTGTCTGCCGTAGTTGATCTGAAGTTGTGTCTGGGTTCGGGACTCACTTTCCTCGTGCTGTACCTGAAGCTGCCAGAGTACACAGCTGCTTGTTAAAGTAACACAGTGCCCTTCCTCTTCGACCGCGCCTTCAGCCACCCTCCTAACCCCCTTACCCTCCAACTCCACCCCTCCTAATTCCCGGCCTCCTGCTCAAGGTCCAAATCCCTGACTGTCCAGCACCGTGACTGAGCTTCAAAATACCTTGTGATTGTACGATGTGATCTCAGAGCAGTAAAACTCTTGTAGAGCTTGAAGTTTATAGGTTTCCCCAGGGGCTGATTCCCTCTTGATTTTCTGAGCCATGTTACACTCATGATGGAGATTCTGAGCATTACCTTTTGATACGAGAGGGAGAGAGAGAGAGAGAGAGAGAAAGGAGAGAGAATAAGACTTAAAACCAACACACTGAAGTCTCTGCCGTTTGTCTCCCAGTTAAAGTTTACAGTCATAAAATGAGCCTTGCAATGGATATGGTGCCTTTGCTGGTAGTGCCGATGTGGGGCTTGAACCCACAACCTTCTGTCCAAAAAAAGGCGAGAATCTACCAACTGAGCCACACTGCTCTAGTTCCTTTGGTCTTCCTACAGTACCACATACTATTTCACTGTGCGAACTCGCAAACTGCATATACTTATTTCATGAGAACATGAGAATTTGCTGGTGAAAGAAGACCAAAGTCCATCTGGTTCGCCTTCCACCATCCTGGCAGTCGTGTCCCAAACTGTATACTGTGTCCCCAAGATATTATTTATTTCCTTGCAGAAATCTATTTCATTTGTTCTTGAAACAAACAACGTAATCCGCTTCCACCTTCTGTCTCCCCAGGGAACTTGTATCATACGTTTACCACTCGCTCGCCCAAGTGGTGTTCCCGCAGATTTGTTCTGAATTTACCCCCTTTCAATCGCAGGACTGGTTCTACTGTTCGAGCACAACTTAAAACAGCTGATCACGGTCTACATTAACTATTCTCTTTGGCATCTTAAAGACCGTACTGCAAGTTCCTTCGTTCCTCAGAACAAAGTGGATCATTTGAATGAGGAATAAGGACATTCCTACAGAAATCAGATTGTATTTGTAAAGTTAATGTATTCTGTTCCATCCTTACTGTATTCCTCAAACCTCCTGGTCTCTTAAAATCTCTTTATGGCTCCTTATGCAAACATCGCCTCTAACTTAGCATTTTCCCCTTTGTTGTGACCGAGACTTTTGGTGTGGGGAGAACTCCAGCGATCAATTAGGAAGGTCAGTTTGAATGCATTTCATTGTAACTCAAAACATGTTTACTGCAATACAAAGTACAGGGATTGTAAATAAATAAAAAACAATTTGGTAACCCTGCAATGTTTTATTGCAAAACGCTAAAGGCAGAGAGAGAGAGAAAAGGTTTTAAAATGGGCTGAACTATTACGAACTCGGTTGAAACATCTGCCATGAATTATGAAGCATTTTCTGACAGAAGACAAGTTAACAAATTGCAGAAACCTAAATCCTCCTCAAGCTATAGTTCTGGGACCACACAGGGGTTAAATATATATATATATATATAGATAATATATTTATTATTCTCAATTGGAATTCACATCAGGTCTAAGCCAGGGTTTAGTCTATCACACGTCAGGCTGTTTCAGTCACAGAAGCATCACTTGTTGCCAATCTTAATCAACAGCGGCCTTTATGTCGGGAGGACGTCTCAAAGCGCTTCACAGAATTAACTGTAAAATGTAGCCACTGCACATTTTGTAGGCGAACGAGGCAGTCAAGGTGCGCGAAGCAATGTCAGGTGCGGGATGAAGTTTCTTTCTAGGAATCGCTTCCAAATTAAGGCTAAAATTAAGAGGTCTTCCTCGATTCTGCGCAATCTGGAATTGTTAGACTAAACGGGAGTCACAGGCTACGAGCCGGATGGAATTTCGAGCTGGAAGCTTTGTGCGGCTATCACCTTACCAAACAGCCCGTATTTCGCCCGTAACGCCGAAGACCAAACCGTTCCCCGTTCTTGAAGAAGGCCGACCATTTGGCATCCGAGGATGCGAGGGAGGTAGACATCAGCCTCGATGGAGAACTGCCTTTGTTTCTCATCGCTCTTTCGCTCCAAATTCACTGCGGTAGGGAGCGGGGAAAAACAAAGACAAATCCGTACAATATAACGTTTAAACCTTTAATCTACGTTTGGGGGAAAAAAAAGTGTGTTCAATCCAGTGTTTTGGATTTTGTCGCTGAGTACATCACCAGAGTCGGAGACTTTTTTTTTTTTAAGTCACATTATCTGCGAAGCTAACTGCTGAATAAGGTGTGTGTCGGGCTGAGGTGGACAGTGGAGCCTACAGGAACCTTGTCCGGGTTTCTGCAGCCGTGCGTTACGATGATCTCACGTGTGCAGAGACATTATCCCTCCTAAAGCTGCAGTTCTGGGACCACACATGGATTACAACGTCATGGCTGCTGTGACCGATGACACGGAATATGCCCTCGTCCAACAAAAGCTGCCCTCCCAGAAGGAATTCTTATGTAAGCGTTTATGATTTCAATTCGTTCGACATACAAATTACAAAGCAACAACGGGGCAATGTGTAGCAATCTTTTTCTGAGAAGGTTTTGTTTCCCGGAATCTGTCCCCAGATTTTTTTCTTGGAAGCAGAAACGAGGCAGGATGAAAGTCGGCGATCCGCTATATCCAAATACTGTGACGCGAAGCGTTTGTAACAGGAAAATTCCAACACCACACACACACACACACGCGCACACACACGCACACGCCAACAGTGAGACGTAGCAACAGCTAACGTGCGCTCACCTGACACGGTAGCAGTTTCCTTCAATACGTTTCTGAGTGAGGCCGAAAGTGCTATTCTCTTTCCGAAGACTCTGGTTGCGTTGCCAGACATTATTATGGGCCAGCCATGCTTCGTGAACTTGGCCTCCAGCTGGGTGAAATACATCTGCTCCCCTTCAACACTCTGCAAGTCCGTCCATCCCTAAAATGAGAGCCAGAAACCAGACGTGTACGACACACACACAAAAAAAAAAACCTGCAACACTCCCAAAAGCTATCGTGCCAAGTAACTTGCAGCAATGAAGCTGCAAAACAATGTGAAACTGATTCAGTTTGGTTTCGGAACAGCACGTAGATACGCTCAATTATGTGACATCCAATGCACAAGTGGATAATGTGAGCGGGTGATTTCATAAGCTAACGACCTGATTGTTTCAAGACTACACGAGGGAGGGCTAAGTGGTCTTTTTAAGCCCTGGCTGTGTGTTGCATTGCTCAACATGCTCGTGACGTGTACTGAGGGATCACAGCAGTACAGTATTGGCATTTACTACCCCATCTAGTCTCATGGTCACTAAACGTGAACTGCCAAGGTCTTTGGGTGGTATGAGGGCAGTGCCCTGTACATACTCACAACTCTCGGTGTGAAGAAATATTTCCCTGATCTGACTTCTAATTTCTGGAATCGGCCCTCATTTTAACCAGTGCTAACAGTACCTTAATGTAGTACGTGTCTTTGTCGTCTATCAGGACTTCCAGCAAACCGGTGCAAGAGCTCTTGATTCTCTTGATTTCTCCTGCAAAACGAAACCTGTGAGCATTAACCGAGCGTGTCAAGAGGTGACTGTCTCCGGCCTATAACGATACCTCCCCAGACAATGTTGTCTATCCTTCAAGTGAACGAGGCAGACAATTTGCACACAGCGATGTCACACCACACAACGTGGAGCGAGTGACCAAATCGGCAACGTTATTAACAGCGACTTAGTCTTAAGTCGGGGCATGGTCTTAAAATTGGAGCCAGGCCATTTAAGAGTGAAATCAGGAAGCATTTTTTCCACTCAAAGGGAGGTAGAAATCTGGAATTCTCTCCCCCAAAAGGCGGTGGATGCTGGATCCATCCATTCAAGAGTGAGGTGGATAGATTTTTGGTAGGTCAGGGTATTAAGGGATATGGGGAGAAAGCGGAGAATTTGGAATTGAAAGGATGAGTTGAGGTACAGATCAGCCACGATCTAATTAAATGGCGGAACAGGCTCGAAGGGCTGAATGGCCTCCTCCTGTTCCTATGTTCCTTTGACAGCTCACCCTCTACTTTGATCTTTTTCTTTGGGTGAATGATTCTGGCTGATAATTTCCTCTTCGGGTAGCTGAGCTGGATATCGACAGCCACGTCTCTGTTGATGTCGGACTTTGGCGTCCCCATGAAGAAGTGCAGCCCAGCCTCCTCAGGAAGCCAGGCTTCTTTCTGGAAAAGAACAGAAATGCACCGATCACGTCCATCAATTAATCAATTATGTGTTTGCTTGTTTACTCATTAACTATATTATTTATTATTCATTTCAAATGAGGAAAACACGACACTGCTCGACGCTGTCTCTGTTTACAAGCAGAAGTCGCAATTGCAATTGGCCGGAGACGCAAAGAGACGAAAAAAGGACCAAGGCCCAATCTCGTTTGTCTTCCACCGCCCTGCTAGTCGCATGCTACATAATGGAGACGTCGACAGCGATTAATTCTCTATGGATTAGTTTACAACAGAGTGGGAAGCTTTGGGAACATTAGATCTAAAGTTGCCTTGTTCTTCCAAGCCAGACTAAACTAACTGTACGTCGTGTCTCAAATTACACATGCACAGCATGTCAGATCACTCTCCGACCACAAAATGCTGTCAAAACGTTTCTTGTCTTGAACTTTTATCACTCTCGTTTTTAATCACTTTCCTTTCAAGCCAAAAAGACAGATGAATGGAAAGCTTGGCGTCGGCCATGGCTTACAAGCCTGAGCGAGCCTGGAGGGAAGAGCAATCTCTGCTCGCAAACACAGCGCCGGTCGAGGGATTGAACTCTCCATTCGTCATCTGATAAACGCCACCCCCCCCCACCCCCACCCACATATCTCTGACTTGCCAACAGATCAATCACTCTGACAAAGAGCAGCCAACTGACGCCAAGATTATTTGTTGCCTTTTAGTCTCCCAACGAGCCCTCCGTGCACGGACTTGCACACACTCCATTGTTTGGCCACTGTTGCCAAGAGCTGTGGAATCTGCCTCCAGTATCAATCAACAGGATGAAATCGATAGCCTCGGTGACTCTTATTGAAGCAACTCCACCGTAGGAAGCAACTCCACCGCAGAACGCTCGTCGAGCGTTGTTCAGATACCGGGATCCCCTTTCTTGGAGGCCAAGCGAGCATTGGAAGCATTTATACCCCACCCCCTCACCTGAGGGTAGCATCACGAAGCGCTTGACAGTGGAGGGGAGCTGACGCCAAGCCGGGTGGGGGAGGGAGGGAGGGAGAGGAGAGGTGACCGAAGGCACGGCCGAAGAGGAGAGTCTTCAGGCGTGACCTGAAGATGGGGGAGGAAGGGGGCGAGGCGGGGCTCGAGGTGTCAGCCTGGCTCAGGATTCCGAGGAGGTAAACAAACCCGATCGAGTGGGAAATTTCTGCAGTTGGTTTTGGTGGCAATTTTGGAAGCGTATCCACCTGGTCCCAGGGTGCCTTACCTGCGAGCTGTAGTGATACGCTGCCTCCAGCAGGTACTGACGCAATCCCTTGTCACGTTTTATTAACATAACCGAAGCTTCAGCGGGTCCAGACAGTGGAAACCCAGGGCCAGAAGTCGCCAAAGGATACGACATTTCGGAACAGATCTGCCACCCGACCTGCCTGGACGCTGTTAGAAGGGAGACGGATCTTAAGTACTGGGTATGCGTAATAATGCAATGACCCAAATAAAAAAAAATATTAATAATCTGATCACTCAACCCACGACTGTTTGTGGGGACGCTGCTGTGCGCAATTGACTGCTGCGTTTCGCCCACAAAACACACAGTCAATTCGCTTTACAGTATATCCTGTGAAGCGCTTTGAGACATCTAGAAGACCTGATAAGGCGTTGTAATGCAAGGAGTATTATTATTATTATTTCACATGCTAGAATAGGGCACCTCAGGATAGACTGCAGACCACTAACTCAGTTCCTACTCAGTCTCCGACATAAAGCCCGCTGGAATGTCAGAATCCAAACGGACTTATTAACAGAGCAAAGACGATGATCCAATATATAAACAATGTGATGTCGGGAGAAGGGTGGGGGTGGGGGGGGGAAGAAAAATGCCGACACGTGTTTCTAGTTAAAACTACGGTCGAGTCCTTGAGTGAGAGCAGGGGAGCTGGATTCCTTGCCAGACTCCTGTTGTGACAGCTGGCACTGTTCACCGTTAGTTCTTATTTCCAGAGGCACAGCTGGCGACCTCCTACAGAATGGTTGCAGGCTTCCTCCGGCCTGAGCCACAATAGTGGATGAGAGTGGCGTTCGGGGCGAGGGAGGGAGAGAGAAAGAGAGATAGAGATAGAGAGAGATATAGAGAGAGAGAGATAGATAGAGAGAGAAAGAGAGAGAGAGAGAGAGAGAGAGTGGTGGGGGAGCGGGGGTGGTAGGAGGAAAGGGCTAGTGGGTTTCTGGATTGCGATTCACATTGCTAGTTTCTTTGTTTTACGCTTTGCATGGTACAGAGCACATCACAGCACACGCCCAGGCTTATCTGATACAGATGATGCTCGTTGGGGGGGGGAAAAAAATAGGAACAGTCAAACAACTGACCGGAATATTAATTGATGGGTACATAACGAAGTCTCAGCTGAATCGGGGAGTTTAGACCAATCCAAATAAATAACCTCACTGGAGCCCATTCCATTTGGCCTTTCTCCTCCCCTCACCTCTCTTCCCGTTACCTTCTGCCCGCAGAAATTTACAGCTACAAGTTTCACCAAGGTACTGGACAGTCGATGATTTGCACCCGAGCCGGGGTTTGGGGTTCAGGTGCTGTTGGCGGATGGGAGGGTAAGGGGTAGGAGGGTAACCGAAGGTGTGGTCAAAGAGGAAGGTCTTGAGATGGGCCTTGAAGGAGACAAGGGAGGGGGCGAGGCTAAGGGACTGTGGTGTGGGATGGAGTTCCAAAGGGTGAGGGCAGAAAGGTTTGAAGGCTGACCCACGATGGTAGGTTGGGCGGGGGACTTGGAGCAGGCTAGAGCCACTGATGCTTAATAAGACTCTAAAGTGCTGTCTTACCTTCCTCCTGACTGCAGGTCCTCTCCTCGATTCGCTCCAGAGAGCCAATGATCTCCTCCTTCCCGGACGGGTTTACGGTGTAAAGTCTTGAGCTGCAGTGACGTAAACATGAGCAACACAACAAACCTGGTGACAACGGCAACTTCTTCCAACGGCTTGCAAACCTTTTCAAGGAACAGCTCAAAGATCCAGAAGCAGCAGCGGCTGAAACAGGGTCTCAACTAAGAGATTCTTAAAAGTATTGAATACGAATTACTCCAATTACTCTCAACGAGGTCAACATTTAGCGCACTCCTCATGCAGAGCAGCGTCTCAAGAGCACTTGACAGCGGCAGAGCATGACACCGAGCCGGGTGGAGAGGGTCGGCTGGGTGGGGGGTGGGGGTGACCGTAGGCACGGTCGAATAGGAAGGTCTTTAGGTGTGCCACAAAGATGATAATTTCTGCCTTAGGCTTAACACCAATCTCAGAGACAATCCTAAAGCGGAACTGCTTGAGAAATGAAGCTCACATTGCAAACCCCATTGTCACCTCACAGATGAAACCGCATCCGTGGTCTCTTTGAGACAGCAACCGCTTCGGTTTAGGGCGAAAGGAACCTTTGGTTTGTGACGGAGGTTTATAACAGCGACATATTTACTTTCCAGGGAGAGACATCAAAGTGAGATCCCATCTGCCTGTTCTGCAGCTGTCCGTACACAACAAACAAATCTCACTGCAATGTACTGTGTTGAAAAAGAACTTGAGGGTATCTGGTGAACATTCATTCCTCGATCCAGATTTCATCGAGGAAAACAGACATGTTGGTCACGGCAGTTTATGGTGCAATCCGGTTTACAAATAACAGCGGCTGCACTTCAAAGGAACAAATGGAGGGGAGCAATTTTGAGACACTCCAATGTGATATCAAATTCCAAGGTTATTCTTATTAATGGTAATAATAATAATCCTTGCCTTTGATGATCACATGTTCGAGACGGCTCGAAGCCCTTCACAGAATATACCGTAAGGTGGTGTGACTGTGAGGGCTAAACCTTGCGAGGAATTGACTGGATGTGCTTCTGGTGACGGTGCTCGTGTTTAAATAAAGAGAAACATCGGATTGTCTCCAGGCAGACACGCCAGATGTTTGTCCTGTGCTCACAATGTTCCTTAATTTTCTCACACACACACATGCACACAACTTAAAAACACAGCACAACATGTTGCTTGTGTTCACACACGCAAACACACAAACAGCTGGGGGTCAGGATTGGGGAGGGTGGAGGGCAGGGGGTGGGGGGGGAAGGAGGGTGATTGAAGGCACGATCGAAGATTGAGTTGAGTTGGGTCTTGAAGGAGGCGAGGGAGGGGGTGCGAGGTGGAGGGACTGTGGGATGGCATTCCAGAGGGTGGGGGACAGTTTTCCATCGATAGTGGTGAAGGGAATAACAGAAAAGACAACATACAGCATTGTTGACCACACTCTGGAACTCCATCCCACAGTCCCTTTGCCTGACTTCCTCCTTCGCCTCCTTCAGGGCCGGTCTCAAGACCCTCTTCTTCGATTGTGCCTTCAGTTGCCCTCCCACCTCTCAGCCTTCCCTCACCCCTACCCCACCCCTCCCCCATGCTCGGGTCCTGACCTCTAACTGTTAGGCACCTCGGGACGTCCTCCCGACATGAAAGGCGCTCTATAAATGTCATTTTCTTGTTGTTGTTCTACAGAATTAATGCCTTGAATTGAATAAACAACCAGCGCTTGTGTAGCGCCCTTCACGTCAGAAAGACGTCCCGTGTAGAGGCAGCTGAAATTCTGGGTTTCAGTTCATCGCTTTGTTATCACCTGATATCTATGACCTCCATCGATTGCTCTGGTGTGTTCAAAAACACCTTCAAGTCTTGTCCTTTCTTTAGGTGGATTCCACCGTCCAAGCTTGTCATAGTCCTCATCCCCGCCACCCATTCCAGACCAGCTCTGCCAATCTTCCCGTCAATCCCCATGTGGACAGACACCTGAACGTGAGCGCTGGAAACGGAGCAATAAAATACTTTCACAAAAAACACAGTGAGACAGTTGCCGATTCAGCAACAACAACAACAACAAAAACCTGCACTTATACAGCGTCCTCCACGCAGTGTAGTGTCTCAGAGAGTTTAACAGTGGCGGAGCCTGACTCCGAGCCAGGGTGGGGTGGGGGGGGTGTGGGAGGGTAGGTGACCATAAGCACGGTCGAAAAGGAAAAGACAGAAAAGGAACATTTCTGCCACTGGAAAACTTTCAGGCTTAAGGTTCCAGCTGGCCGGAACGCTTAGGGACATTCTCCCGCGAACGTTAACGTTGCTCAGAACCGTGGAAACGTCGGAGCTTGCATTTGCGGGAAGCCCCTCAGGGAGGGCAGAGTCTCGGGGAGCGCTTAAACTCCCCTTCAGTTTGAAAGAGGGTTTTCCCGCAGACCTTGAAAGGAACTTGGCCTCCAAATGAAAACCGAGCTGAAGGGTTTCCGCAATTCTGCGTGATCGTTAATCTTAAAAGCAAAATGATAGTTATCTACAAATGTCTAACCTGGTACCGTTAAGGCTGAAAGTGCGTACCTCGGCTTGATGAAACCGGTGATATAAAAGTCCGACCACTGTTTCAGATCCACGTTCCCTTTAATTCTTATGTTAGTGGCGGCTGATGCGTTCACGGCAAGTTTAATGGGGAGGCCAGAGATGGACGGAAATAGCAAGTGCTCCGTGGCTAGACTTGTCCTTTTGTTGTACTGTACCTCTTTACCCTAAAGGCGAGCAAACAAAGGGTTTACAGTTGTATTAAAGTAGACAATAAAAGGAAATTGTCTCATTACGTAAACCTCCCAGTTACTGGTAAGATGGATCTCTGTAACCTCCCGCGTCAAGTTTCCCCCAACAATAAACGTCTGTTTACCTTTAAGAGTCTGATTGCAATTTCTGCCACGTCCAGCGAGTATTGCTTCATCTGGCTCCTCAAGTCGCTGCAGTCCACAGAGCTCAGCTCGTTGCCAAAGACCTTCATGCTGAGATCGCACACGAGCCTCCTCTTCTTTGCCATTCTTTTCGTAAACTTCAGCCAGAAAAGCAAAACAGCAAAACACAAGTAAAAAATAACCAAAGGGGCGACAGAAAAGTCTGAAGAGCACAACTGACCAACTCACCCACTCACCAACTCACTCACTCACTAACCAACTAACTAAATAACCAACTAATTAATGTTCTTGCATTCAGCAAGAAACCACAACGCAAATTAAGGACACTTGGGCTGATCGAACCAACCCACTGCCTCACAAAACCACTGCCCGTCTACACTCTTATTCGGTGTCAATCAGCCGGGCTCAGTTGGTGCTCTCACCTCTGAGTCAGAAGGTTGTGGATTTAATGCCCCACGAGAGGACCTTGAACTCATCTATCATATCCTGCTAAGTTCATCCTTTCCACACCCACGTGGGAGCACAGCTCTGTAGGAGTGTTTAATTAATTCAGTGTTTAAAAAACTGTTTCTGACACTAATTAAAACTCCCTCCTACGCTAAATCTCTGTGTCCAGGCATCGTTTACACTACAAAGACCATATCAACTCATATTTGGGCTATCTTCAGGGTGATTATGTGCAAGCGAGAAAGATACAGGACTGTAGGGACCAGAGAGATTTGCTATTTCAGGCGACTACAGACTTGGGCTGCTACCAGATAAGCAATATATTTTTATATTAAAAAAGTTTCATTACTTTGCTTTCCAGGTGACGAATCCCTTTGTAGTTCACATTCTGGCAGCTTTGCTTTGCCTTTCCTGGCTTCGAAATCTCCACCTGCTGTTTAGATACCGGGTGTTTGCCAACAGCCTCTCTCCTCACAGTTTGTTTCTTGGTGGTGGCCGGGCTCTGGGCTTCCATTTCTCCCCCATCCTCTTCGTGACTCTGGGATGGCCGGCAGCAGAAGCTGGCTTGTGGCCGAACAGTTTCTGCACCAGATGTTCCGCATTTTCTACTCGAAGGTTGAGCTGTGTACGAGCAGAACAACGACAACAAGTTGCATTTACACAGCGCCCTTCACGGGGCGGGGGGGGGCAGAGGCGACCGTCACCACGGTCAAAAAGGAAGGTCCTTTAGGCGGGATTTGGAAAAGAGTGAGAGGATCTTGAAATCAATCCGTTCAGTGATTGGGGTGAGTTTTAGTGCGTGTGATAGGGAGGCAGTGGAGCCTGGCGAGGGCTGGGGCGATGGGGGGACGGAGTTTAGTGTGTGATAGGGAGGCAGTGGGGCCTGGCGAGGGCTGGGGCGATGGGGGGACGGAGTTTAGTGTGTGTGATAGGGAGGCAGTGGAGCCTGGCGAGGGCTGGGGTGATGGGGGTCATTTTTTTGTGCAGGTGAGTATCAGAGTTTTGAATTAATTAGGATTTTGTGTGCGGTGGAGCTGGGGAGACCAGCGAGGAGGGCATTGGAATAGTCCAGCCGGGAAGTGATGAAGGTGTGGATGAGGGTTTCGTCTGCTTTGGTTGTGAATATAACGTCTATAGCACAGAAGAAAGCCATTCGGAACCAATGTCATGTCCCATATATAAAGACTTGCCTCCAGTAGATTCACAGCACGACCCATGATGTGTACGGTGAGGTTTGCCATGGCGGAGCGAGGTAAAAAGGACTTTGGAGAGAAAACCAGGGCAGCTTCCACGTTTGCCCCAACGGGAAACGATTCTGCAACAGAATAAACGCAAGAAAATTCAGGCAATTTCAAACGTTCTTTCCTATCATCCGAAACATTTCACCGACTCACTGAAATCTGCCTACAAATACACAGTCACCACACTTTACACAAGTGGCTGTGAAAAGCTTTGAGATGTTTCAGTGTGACGATTCATTGCATCAAACACAAGTATTATTATTGTTGTTATTCTTATTGTAATAATAAATTAAAACACAGTAGGAGGTCCCACAGCCCATCAAACCTATCCTTGTTTACTGCCTCCTCTGGAACTCTCAACTCTAGTTCCTAATTTCCTGCAATTTTCCGGCATTCTCTCATGTTGTGCCCCTTCAAATATTTATCCAATTCCCTATTGAATATTGTTGTCGGCTTAGCTTCAATAACCCCAACTGGGCAAGGTATTCCGCGTTTTAATATTTCTGCTTGAAGAAAATAAATCCTCCTCAACTCTTCAATCTTGACGACGTGATAAAGCGCCACATCAAATAAAAGAGTTATTATAATCTCCCCGCATTTAACACATAGTGAACTGTAATACAGGACATGTGTACGTACGGAAAACACTTCAAGTTCCCAATTTTCGCAGGATGCAGCTGAAAAGCCTCTGACTTTTGCTCTGAATCAGTGGTGAAAAGCCTTGGAAGCTGTACTGTGCCTGTGATTCAATCGTGAGCCATTAAAGAGGTGTCAAAGTTGACTTCATTACTGCTCCCGCTATTGTACATCGAGCTTTGCCATGTGTGCAGTTGATGACTGTCCAGAGCGCACTGAGCAGCCAAGAACCAGCTGTGATGACAATGCAATCCAGAAGCCACGGATTTGAAGTCATCGAATAGAACTGGAATGTTTTTTCCTCTCTCTCTAAATTGTCCGCCCTAAAACAACTGAGTTGTTAGAGCAATACTACAGGCAGCAGCAACCCTGCAAGTGAGCGTTCTTCACATATAGGCTGGACTCTGAGTGCTAGCAGGCTGTACAGCCACCCTAATCCTGACCCTAATCCCAGCCACTCGTGAAGATTTCCAGTGATGGTGTAGTGATGGCGGGCAAGGGGCAGAAATCACCGGGTAGCAAGCAACACCGGGCAGATTTCTGCATCCCTGGTCCGCAGACGATGGGAGTGAATTGTAGCCGAGATTGGTTTACGCCGCGCAAGCCGCGCGTCAAATCTGGCTCACCTTAAGCGTTTCAGCCAGTACGTCATTTGAGACTTTAAGCTAGAAAAAGAAAACTAAGATCATCCAAGTCGATGCAGATCCAAGAGTGAGAGTCTCTCTCTCTCTCTCTCTCTCTCTCGTACTATCAGAGTTCAGATCAAATGCATCGGTACCTGATGAGAAGGTGGCATCCGCGTATGACGAATATTTCCAGTGTTCCAGGTCAAAGTCTCGGCTGATGATGTAACTGGGAAGACTGTCCCGCAGGTGCTGCTTCAGGGGGTCGTTGGTTTCCATGAGCTGAGACAGGTGCGTCCACACGAACGAGCCAACTGTGAAACGTACAGCCGTGGGTCAGATTAGAGGCCGTAAAGTAAACGGTGCCCGTGTCGATGTACTGCAGAAGCACACACTCGTTCTACTCTGCGAAGATGTCACAGAGACACGATATGAAATGCAAGGATTATTATTATTGTTATTATTATCATCCTTTGACTGAAATTTAAAGCGTCTTCGAAAGAACGAGACGTCTGAATGCGAAACCTACAGAAGCCCTGGCTTAGAGGAACGTGGGAGCAGGAGTAGGCCATTCAGCCCCTGGAGCCTGTTCCGCCGTTCTATTAGACCATGGCTGACCTGTACCTCGGCTCCAATTTAACGAATCAATCGTTTTACGCTGCATCCTGTGAAGCGCTTTCAGACGTCTCGGAGACGTGATAAGGCGCTGTGTCAAAGGCAAGGACTCTCATTGCCGTACGCCTTGTCAGCAAACTCCCTGGAAAGGTGAGTGATAAAGTTTGCTAATAGCCACTTTTTTTTTTTTGCTGCTGAAAACCTTGGCTGGAGCTCTCCCCCCGGAGTGTGCGTTTGACCGTTTCAAAGAGCCGTTCACTCGGGCACTTCATGGCCGTGTAGTAAGACGCAATGCGAAGCTCGGGATCTTCGTCCGCCTCTAGGTACAGCTGAACCAGCACCGAGCGCTGCAAACACAAAACAGCAACGCTCCCGGTTAGCAAAGAGCCTCCACTGGCGGGGGTTGGGGTTGGGGTCGGGGGCATCAAATCACAGCAGCCCAGGAGAGGGGCCGAAATCAATCACCTGTGCGTTAACTTCAAATCGTTCCCGTGTACAAATACCCGACCTTTCCACGGAGCCAACCCCGAGATTGACGCAAAAACAGAAACCCTCCAAAAAACCCAACTGGCGCCGAGAGGCCAGACGTTATTAACTGACTGTGAAGCTGATTGTCTTACGTCGGCCTGGCAGGGGATGCGTCGAAACGAGTGAACTGCCGCCAGCCGGACTTCCAGCAAATTGGCTTTGGACTGAACACACTTCCTGAGGGTCGGGACCAGAGTCTGAGCCGATAGCCCGGCGTTTCCGATCGCCTTCAGGGACAACAGCACCTGGAAATCAACAGCACACGGGGGGGGGGAAAAAAAAAAAACGGTTAGACACTTTTCAGACCACCCGCCGTCGGCCGAGAAACCAATTAGGACGGTGGCGGAGGCCTGAAGTTCCACCTGGTCTTAGCCTTGAAAACCCACCTCATCTTACAGTTGATGATCTCACTGAATGGTGCATGATCCTTAAGTTACGGCTGAATTTGGGAGCCAAAGAACTGCAGGAAAACAGTGTCTAGACTAGGGACTGGATTAAAGAATCGTTCACAATTCTGGGTGATTTTAACTGGTTTCAATCCCTCAATTCCGCCATCTGTTCGTCTCTCTTTAAATTCTGCTTTAAGATCTACTACACCGCATGATCACCTTCTCCTCGCTCCTCTTCCTAGCTCCAAACCAGCGCTCCGAGATACTACACAAACCACGATGAAGCCTTACAAGGCGGGAGTCCAAGTAAATAAAATAAAACATAATAAAGGCAAACGATACAGTCTGGGAATTATGATTAGAACACAAAAGTAACAAGA